TCGATCCATTTTGGAATTGGAGTCTACAAATGAGAAACCCATAAAACGATTAATACTAATAATCGTTATCTCTAATGAAATCTATACCAAAGTAGATTAATTTGTAACGAAATTTCAACAGAATTTCGTCTATTTTTTGGTCAAAACCAAATTTGTATAAATTGAAATTATAGAGTTTTCATTGTTACTACCATCACTTATATAACTACATTGTTATATGTAGTTTTCAAATTCACACTTCATGATTAATTTCTAACAAAAATCCGACAGAGTTTCCTTTGTTTTTTGGCAACAATTTTAAATGACACGAGTGAAACCTGACAATAAAAAGCCCCACGGGCATATTCAAGCAGTTCAAGTATAATTGTACACATCATCAATACATTGAAAAAAACTATAATATGACTAAGAATTGAATCAACGAGTTAACGGCAAATGACTAACAATCTCTACCTATGAAATGTAGTAAGTAAAATTGTATGACTTTGCCCAACAAATATAAGTGCAACAACATCGTACCTATGGTTTAAGGCGGCGATGAAGGTTCACACCACGGAGAAAGCAGAGCGGCGCTGCACCGGGGTGGAGGTGGAGGATGCAATGCGGCGTTAGGGTCGAGGCCGTGGTGAGCGGACAATGCAATGTGGGTGGAGGTCGCGGTGGGGGTGGAGGGTGGTTGACTAGCGTCGTGGTGGGGTGGAAGCTGCAGTGGGGTGGAGGTGCTGCGGCGGGGGTGTCACGCGGTGCGCGGTGGCGACGTGAGGGAGGGCGTCCGGAGAGTCCAAATGACGGTGGTAGGTGGTGGCCGCGATGCTGGAGAGTAAGGGGAGTGGGCGCGATGCTGGAGAGTAAGGGGAGATATACAAAAATGGTAGCCTATTCAAATGGGAAAACGGGGTTTCGACGTCGGTTATACCCACACCCGACGTTGAAACTCGATTTATCTCTTGTTTTAATCGATTGAAACGAGATTTAATCGATTAAAATAGTTCTGATCGGTCATAACTGGATTCTGATCGATCATCCTGACCCTTTAAGAGATTTTAATCGATTGAAACGTGTTTTTAATCGATTGAAAAAATTCTGATCGCTCATAATTAAAATCTGATCGATCACATTTGATTCTGATCGGTCATTTTTATATTCTGATCGGTCATAATGAGTTCAGAAGGGTTTTCAACGTCGGGTGAGGGCATAACCGACGTCGAAAGCCTACTTTCCACGTTGTGCATGCTAAAACGACGTAGAATGTGTCAAAATTCGACTTTCGACGTCGGTTGTTGACCAACCGACGTTGAAAGCATGTTCAACATCGGCTAAGATGTAACCGACGTTAAACAGCGACGTTGAAAGTATATTTTCTAGTAATGAATGTTCTATTTGATTGGTCCTATTTATTTTGTAAAATTTTAATTTCCAAATTAATTGAATCAAATTAGAGAAATTGGGAGGAAGAAGGAAGGTAACCACAACACAACACAAACACAAGCACAAGCTTGAAGAACAAGAAAGTGTGAAAGATCATCAAGACATAACTTTGAAGTTATGAGGAAGAATTTCTGAAACTTCAATAGAAGCCACCACCACCCCGAATAACAAAGTTGGCAGCGACTACAACTACAACTCTTCAACTTCATTTCTTAGATTTTCGTATCAATTAATCGTTTGTATTCAGGAAAAACCACACACACAAAGACTACCAAAATAAGAGAATAGAGGTCCCACGGAGCTATGTCACGGACCACTTTACATAAAGTCATCTACCTTTTAATAATAAATTTATATCATCACCATTAAAAAAAATAATTAAATATAAAACTATGATAAACATAAAGACAAAAATGCTATCGAATTAGCACCACAAATTTCTGTACGTATGTTTTAAAGGCTATTCTTTTGAGAATAATGATGACCAACTTGTCGATGTAATTTTCATCATTTTCAAACCTTTTACTTCATCGATACTCTTTTTTAATGATTAGTTGTACGAACGTACATGTTCTACTTTATTTTAGAGCAATTATTTTTTTATTTTATTTGTATATTATATTTTTTCCAAATAGTTTATGAGTAATTACTATTTTTTACTTACCTCTTTCTTCTCATTATTTTACCGGCTCAATAGTTTTGAATTTTATTTAGGTGAATTTAGATTTAAAAAGTAAGAACTAATATATGTCAAAAGTTATTTCAATTACATTTCGAGTTATTAAAACTGTTTTTCTTTTCAACTTTACAATTTAACTAAAGATGATTATAAATAATAAATTACGTTCGCAAATTCAGCAGATTTGATTTTGTTCCATATATTATCCTGCTTTATTCGGATGAATTATTGACTCAAAAAATTAACTCCTACTAAAAAATAACTCATATATTATCCAATAGATTTTACGATACAACCTTAACATGATTTTAAAGTTAATTTTTTATTATTACTATTATTATTAATCTTGAGTCAATTTCTTTTTTTAATAAAATTCAACAAGTTTGATTAAAAAGACGTATTAAAAGTGGCACATATATATCTTATATCATATAATATAATTTAAATATGTATATAAATAGTGAGAAATAAGTTCATTGTATTAGTTGTTGTTACCATAATGTATTTGTACTAAAGGAAATTAGTGGCATTCAATTTTCTTTGATTTCGGAGTTGAAACAAATTGGAAACTGTCTTTCAGGATTTGAAGTGATTGCAAATTTGAAAGAAATTTACATAATAATCCAAATAAAACGGCCACATTTGGTTGGTAACATACCATCAATTGATGGATGGGGAATTGAAGTGATGATAACAATGTTTAAGCATGCTTCCAACACTGTGGATGACATGAAGATGATGCATGAAGTTGGTATTTATGCTAATAATAATAATTTATATAATCCTAACAGCAAGCTTTTGTAGTGTGCAATGGTGACAAATTCCTCTCTTTCGTGTTCTTGTATAAACGTTATCTGCCACCCCTTCAAGCATGGCTCGTGGCTTATGTTTAGTGACAGATGTTGATCCAACATTAAATAATATATTATTAATAAATAATAAATAAATATAAAAAGAAAATAAGAAGGTGAAAAGATAAAATTTTAAATATATACTTAAATATATTAAATGATCATTAAGTCTGATAAGAACAAAATCATAAATTATATAAGAATTAAGAAAGAATGAGGATAAAATTATAAATATACAAGTAAATATATTAAATGTTCATTATGTTTTGGAAGTTAAAATCATAAATTACATGAGAATTATAAAATTTTTGGGGTCACAGTCCCTCAACTTCTAAGAAGATCCGTGACTATTGATGTTTTTTCTTAGTTTAAGGATGGCTATATATGGTGTGAAAAATAACATCCATAATTTAATTTGCAGGTGGACACACTTGGTTTAAATTTAATTTTCATGCCCAGAGATTTTCTATCTGATTCCTCCCAAGTTTGCACTGGCAATACATCTGAAACAAGGAAGCAAAGAAAATAAACTATATGGATAATGATAATGTAAATATTTTACACTCTTGTATGATTTGTAAATAAATTTAATTGTAATTTTGATTTCAATATTTTACTACTTTAATTAATTTTAGTTTTTTAATTCTTAATTATTCATAATTTTAGTCTGTATAAAATATATATTTTTCTTGGTTGAAAAATAAATACAACAAAGAAGTTAATCTATTAAAACCTAAAGGTCCAAATCGGTATAGGCCCATTATGTTGCGAAGATGGGTTGTTCTCTGTCATAAGTCTGTTTGTTATGTTTATACGATAATTGAGGGGTTGAAAAATAGATTTAGTAAGATGGTGGCCCAGTCATTTCGAAAAGTAGGTTAAATAAAATTTACTTATTTTATTTTAAAAGAAGCATAAGAAAAAACTTCTAAGATCCATTTATTATAATTAGGACGAATTAATATTTTGGATTAATAAATCATTACATAAAATTGAATGATAAGTGATTTTTTAATTCTTATATTGACTAAATGAATATATTTTCCTCTAGTTTATATATTAAATAAATTCAAACATAATTTAAAATTTTAAAGTACATTTTATTTTATTTTTTAATATTTTAATTAATTATTTTTATATAAATATAATTATAAATTTTTTAAAATTTTTATTAAATTAAATTTATTTTAGTTCGTTGGTTTAATTTATAATTAAATTTAAAAAAATTATGATTCATTTAAAAATATAATTAAAACTAGAGTAGATAGTTTGATTATCCTCGATAACATGATAGAATAAATTTTTTATTAAAATAATTTATTTTATTTTTATGAAAAAAAGAAAAATTTCAGTCTAAGTTAAACAAAGTTTATATTAAAAATATGACTCACTTTTAAATACGTTTAAAATTAATTTCTGATGTTTGAAAAAGAAAATTAAGAAAAAAGTCATCACGTTAGAGAAAAAAAATAGTTTAAACAGTAGTTCAACCGTGTACTAACATAATAAATATGTTGATATTTAAAGGAATCAGTTTAAAAATCATACTATTTGATACGCATAATAGGCCAATTTTTTTTTTTTTATTGGAATATTAATATAACACAATAGGAATACAGTGAAGGGGACTGCAACAAATTTATTAAATGAAAGAAAGAAGGGAAAGTTGATATATTTTAATTAATATTATTCTAAAGGATTCGTATAAACGGAAATACAAATAGGATCCGTATAAATCTCATTTACGTTGCCAAAGAAGAGTATTTCTATTCTTATGTTAGGTAACTATTTATATTAATTTTTTATACTGAAAGTAGCACCATTGTGATACGAACTTCTGTAAGAAGAGTAAATGAATTCTTTCTTTCAGTCTTTATCAAATAAATGAAATGCTAACTTGCAAATTGATTGGAGTAAAATATATATTAGAAAGACTAATATGTAATAGTCATTCTATTAAAAAAGAATAAAAGAAACAAAACTATTTCATTAAGATTAATTGTCTTTTGACAAAAAAATAAAAGAAATACAAAATACAAAAGCTAGTTCTCAGTGGGCATAGGGTAACGACATAATGGGCAAGTGTGACTTATCTGCAGCCACTTGACAATACAGTAATGATGAAATACATGATGACATGGCATGGACGAAAACTTGACGTTTTCTTCGTTTTCCCTGACACGAAATTGTTCCAAACAAATATTGCACTCCTCAGTCCTCCTTTTCGAAGAAGGTAAAATTGTGAAGGTTTTAAGAGAATGGATGGCTTCACTGGATGCTGGAATCATTGCTGCATCTTGCTGCATGGACTCTTCTATTACTGCATTGTCAATCTCCTCCTCTTCCTCCTCGCTCTCTTCTTCTGGAACTGTATCTTCTGCTGGAACTAAATCCACGATGATGTCTAACTTCAAGGGAAACTCTTGGTATTCTGATGATTCAGTATCAGAACAAAATTCAAAAATTTCTTCAGCCAGAGTACGAATTGTTCCTGATACTTCATCAATACTTTCTGGGGCGAAGAAGTTTGAGTAGGGTGGATCGAGCACCAAAATGCTTAAGAAATCTCGATTATTTTGAAAGAAGCATCGACAGCAAAGGCATACTGTCGTTTTTAATAAGGTTGATGTTTGAACAAAACGTAAATAATTTTCATATCGAAGACTGATAGTCACATCAATTCTCAATCTGTCATCGGGTTTTACCTTCACTCCTATTTCTCCATATTGCATGTGACAGTGATAGTAATTTATTGCTCTTTCTAGGGATCCCATGTTGAATAATGAACATTCAGGTACAAGGCCTTAATACTTTGTTCTGTATTTATAAGGTTGTATCAAAATCTGAGAACAAAAACCAAAACACTTGTATCTTCTTATCAATTATCATATGAAGGGTAAATGATAGAGATAAGATTTCTTCGTTCTGTAACAAACTATTAAAACAGATATATATTATTTTTAAGATTTTTATAGTCTTCCTTTAATCCATTTTAATTTTTTTTAAATCCACTCATATCAAGATTACGCTAAACATTATACCAATGATTAAGATTACAATAATTTTAAAATTTGAAATATCTTTTAGACAAAAATCTTCGGAAACGGAAAAAAAAAACACTAATTTTCTGTAATCCTCTTTTATGCCAACTAGTATATTTACAGGTAAGATGCACTGTTTTTTTCAACTAATTTTTATATTAAGTATATAATACAATTACGCTTTTAAAAATGTATGTTATTTATAATTTAATATCAGAATTATTGAATATCTCTTGATTTTAAAAAGAAACAAAATACGTTATCAATCATATAAAAATGAAATATAATAATTTTTAATAAAAATATTTTTTAAATTTCATTGAAAAAAAAAACAAATATATTCAGCACGTGTTTAAAAAGTATATTTATGATTATATATATATATATATATATATATATATATATATATAATTTCTTTCAACAATATTTTGTGTTATCTTTTTCCCATTATATTATCTTTTATCAAATAAAAATATTAATAATTTAATTAAAATATAAATTAGTATAATCAAAATAATCATTCATTCACTTGATTTGTATTTATTATTTATTTAAGAATTATGTATATTATAAATTTTTAATGTCAATTTTTATAATTATTCAATATATTATAAATGCATAGTATTATTGCCAATCATTTAATTATTATTAATCATGTAAAGATATGTTAAAATCTAGAATATGGTTTTAAAGATTAACTAAAAATATAAATTAATAGTTTAGTGATACTAATATTTTATATTAGAAGTTAAATAAATTTTGAAACGAGGGTTAATATGAGTGTAATTCATGACTTTGGTTTCGTAGGATTGAGTATTTAGTATTAAAAAAAAAGACTATAACAATTAATCATGACGTAATTTTTTTTATTTGAGAGTCCAGTCGTAACGATTTGATTTGATTCGATTGTAATTTGATCCACGTGATTTCTGGTACGAGACAATTAAGTACTCGTCAACAAATAATTGGAATAAGCCTATATCAAATATTATTATATTCCTTTTGAATTCTTCGTTAATAAATAATTACTATAATGTAAAGTCGAATTTTGTTTATTAATAAAATTCAGAAATTTTATAGATATAGGAAATTTCCATTCTTAATAAACATATAAAAATTATTTTATTTCAAATAACATTAAAAGTATTAAAATAGTGTTTAATATTTTTTTAGCCGATAAACTAATTAGATTACTGTGAATTGAACGAGTTTGGTGTTGTTACTTATAAAAGTCTATTTGTTATCGAATTTTACTATTAGGAATAACCAAAACATCTTTAAATACTCAAATTTTCACATTTAAAATGAGTTTTGAAGAGACGGCTAGACTAGAGATATAGATTGGTACTGTCATAATTGAAAATAAAAAATTATAATATATTTTTGAACTTAAATTATATTAATAAAATTATTTTTACTTTAAATATAAATTATTTTTAAATAAGTGACATAATATTAATAAAATAATATTATTTTATAAAATAGATTCATTCATAATCTTACCTAATAATTTTACTTAAATTCATTTAAAAATAAATTGATTGGATACAATTAATCTGATTTTATTTAAATCATAATTCTTTAAAATTGATTTTTCTAAAACTCATTTAACTTATAAACTAAAATGATAAGACGAAATTTTTTAGAACATAATTATTTTAACATAATTTAAAATCAAAGAAAAATCATTTAACTTATAAACTAATATGTAGTTGTTATTCTTATTTAAAAAAATAAAAGAAACAAAAACATTTCATCATAAAATTAGACTTATTGTCTTTCAACGCAAAAAAAAACCCATATATATATATATATATATATATATATATATATATATATATATATATATATATTAATTATTATCAATGGGCAGAGGATAACGACACAATGGACAAGTGTGACTTATTTGCAGCCACTTGACAATACAGTGATGATGAAATGCATGATCGCATGGCATCCACGAAAACTTCACTTTTTCTTCATCTTCTCCGAGACGGAATTTTTCCAAACAAATATTGCATTTCTGGGTTATCCTTTTCAAAAAATGAAAATCTGTGAAGGTTGTAAGAGAATGGATGGCTTCACTAGACGCCGGAATCATTGCTGCATCTTGCTGCATGGACTCTTCTGTTACTGCATTTTCAATCTCCTCCTCTTCCTCTTCGCTTTCTACATCTGGAACTATATCCACGATGATGTCTAAATTCAAAGAAAATTCTTGGCATTCTGAATCTACAGATTCAGTATCACGACAACATCCCAATATTTGTTGAGTCATATTGAGAATTCTTTCTGATACCAGATCAACAATTTCTGGGATGAAGCAGTGAGAGCAACTTGGGTCGAACAACAAACTTCTTAAGAAATCTTTATTATTTTCAAGGAAACTTTGGCAGCTAATGAATACTAACCTTTTTAATAAGGTTGATGTTTGAATAATATGTAAATAATCTTGATATCGAACACTAATAGTCACATCAATTCTCAACCTATCGGTGGGTTTGACGTTCATTCTTGTTTCTTCAACTCGCATGAGACAGCGGTAGAAACTTATTCTTCTTTCTTCTGTTGTTGTCATGTTAATGACCATGAACGCTCAGCTACAAGACCTTCATACTTTTTTCTGTATTTATATAAACGCCAACACTCATATCTTCTAAGAAATTTATTATACAAACGGAAATATGGCTGCATATATGGTGAAGGATAGAGACGAGGTTAACAAATCATTAAAACAGATATATATTATCTCTAAGATTTCTATAATCTTGATTTAATCAATTTAAATTTATTTTAACTTAAAAAAATTTATTCATATCAAGATTACATTAAACTTTTTAGGAATGACCAAGATTACTGTAATTTTAAATTTTGAATAATCTTTAACAGGAAAATATCCTCAAAAACTAAAACAAAAAACATACCCATTTTCTCTTGTCCTCTCTTTTATATGTCAACTAGTATATTTACCGGTAAGATGCACGCTTTTTTTTATTTAATAGTTTTTACGTAATAGAGTATATAATAAAATTACGCTTTAATTAATTTATAAATTTGTACTATAAATAAATTAGAATTTCGATACTTTTGTGAAAATAATTATAATTCATTTACTGTGAATAATATATAAATAGAAAACTAAAAATTAATGATGTGTTATCTTTATAAGTGAATTAATTGATAATCATAATTATTGACTTTTTTTAAAAGAGAAATACTGATAACATTGAAAATGTGTAAATATAATATACTAACTATTAGAATTAACTACGTTGATTTATTCTTATATTTATTGTTATTTCTTTATAAAAAAAAATGAAGGCTTTGAATATTGTATTAAACTTTTATTAAAATAAAACTCTATAGTTTAAATTTATAACTGGTTTAAGTTAATTATTTTTATAAATTTATGGTAATTATAATATTATTCTCTTATTATTAATTTGTATAATAAAGAACAAATTTAAAGCAGAGTGGAAGATAGACTAATATTTGATTGAAACCCTTAAAAGTTCTCTTCTGATAATATAATAAATTTGGAATTAATATATTATATAAAGTATTTTTAATATAGTATATAAACTTGAATTATTTCCTTATAAATGTTTTATAGTACCCTTTTCTATATACTTTATACTACATTTAATTAGGATAAATATTGTACCAACTTTATGTAGAAATATATTAACAGTAAAATATTACTTTTTGTGTCCTTATTTATCAAAATTTTATTCAATGTCTCTTTATTAAAAAAAAAATTATCAATCATATACAAATGAAATGTCTACATAAATAAGGTAAGAAAATATTTTGAGCAGAATATTTTTCTAAATTTGTAAATGAAAAGAAGACAACAAATTTATATGGCATCTAAATAAGAAATATGTTTAAAAATAAACTTTTAATGACATATATATTATTTATTTTGCAAATAATCATTATTATTAAATATTAAATGACACACGCATCAATAGTTTTATGAAAAAATCAGTAAATATATTACAATGTTAAATATTAAGTTATATGTTTTTGAAGAAAAATGATTATAAATTAAATTATAGAAATTATTTATTTTATAAATATAAGAACGCTCACATAAATTTTAATATTTAAAAATGTCAATAATAAAAAAAACAATATATTTGACTTCTTTGTTTCAGTGTAAATTTTGTTGTGAATGTTCTGTCTCCTCCAAGGTCAATACCAAAAGAATTTAAAGATTCTTACTACCATTTTTCAAAGAAAGTGGCTGTTACAATTTAAAAGTGTGTGATTGCTCAGTAAGTAATTGTGGTTTTCTACATTAGGATGCACAAATATATAACTAAATTATAAACACTCACAAATTTACTTAAAATTTATATTTTTATTTAAAAAATATATGTATATTATAAAATTTGAATTGTTGTCAAATATAATTTGAATATTAAATTCATCCTCTTTTATGGAAATTAAAAATTGTAATAAACTATTAATAATATTATTATTTGTAAAAACAAAAACTTAATATTTATATTAATATTAATTTTATTTATATATGTAATATGGAATATTAATTTAAAATTTTATATGATTTTTTATAATATGAAAAAATAATTTATTTTGTAATATATTTTAATTATTTAGAAACAAATATTAAAAATAAAATATTATGTTTTATATTATTAAAGAATATATATGATCACCTTTTGAGCTGAAAAGTTGTGTTATTATTAATTTACATTTTATTAAATAATTAAATTATTTATATTTGATAAAAGATAGCATAATTTATTATAAGTCAAAGTTTGATGGTAAAAATATATATGATTTACCTTCTGAGCTGAAAAGTTAAGTCATTATTAATTTATATTTTATTAAATTATTTATATTTGATAAAAGATAAAATGATATAGATAATAATATTAATTTATGTTTTTTTTAATGAATTTATATTTGTTAGATGTTATTTCCTAATTATGGATTTTTTTTAGTCGAGTAAGTTTTTTTTATATATATCTTTAACCTGAGACAAATTATTAGTGAGATATACGGTGTCAACTTAATTAGATATTATTTTACAGTTAACACTAAATAAAAATATAATTTTAAAATAATAAATAAAATAGAAAATAGATATATGTATGATTAAATTTTAAATCATTATAATAAAACAATATAATAAAAGAATTCAATAACAGAAACTTGGGAATTGGAAGTAGCAGGATTTATTCATTTTTTTTTTCAAAAAATTTTAAAATAAAAATAAATGTTGATAATAAAACAAGTTTATCGGATAATTCAATAATAAATAAGAAATGAGAGTTAGTATTTTTTTTTACTATTCAACTAATTTACTTGAATTATTTATTTATTTAATTTTAATTATTGAATTCTTAAGCTTATTCTTAAAAATTGAAAATTGAAATTGGATAAAATCTATTGAAAGTTATTTTCTTTATCTTTCTGCTAGTTATCATTATTTTAACAAAATAAATTTGAAAAATAATGTATAACGAAGTATATGTACAATAATTTATTATTTAGTTTATATCGTTAATTATTAATTAAAATAAAATTTATGAGATAAAAAATACTAATACATAAAGATTTATTATTAGTTTAGTAATAATTATATAATATGTTATTATTTTTGTAAGAAAAGAAAAGAAAAGAAAAGAAAAGAAAAGAAAAATTAATAACATATAATAAAATACATTAACAATAAATTAATATTTATTTTAAAATAATTTTTATAATAAATTAAATGATACTATTGAATATTAAAATAAATATTTAGTTAACAAAATTTATATAAATATATTTATGTTAACCATTTAATCTTGAGTCAAATATCATAAGAATTATCAAATTTATTTTTATCGGCAAAAATACTGTAAAATTAAAATTTCAGTTATCACTTTGATAAAGACTTTAAAGGCTTGTCTCTCCAAGTAACTGAAGCAAGTTAATCCGAACTTGTGTAATTGCGTAAGACTCATGTTAAGTCCCACTTGGGTGAAATACTACTACTTGATTCACAATCCTGTAGGCAATGTAGAGGATATGAGGAGAGGGTGGGGATCTCAACTTATACCAGCAAGGTGTCCACCTCAAAGCCTTGTTTTGAGGTTCCTCTTTCCCAATCTGATCCCCATGAAAATACAAAATTACATGAAATGTTTTTGTTAATTTATTAAGGCTGCATTCTTAGTACTTTCGTCATAAAGATGAGATTCCATAAGCACCAAAAGCAGTGAAATTGCAATAAGTGACAACAAAATTACACCCAAATGAATAGACAAAAAATTCATAAAAGGAATTCATCTATTTCCTTCATCCGCTGTACAAAAATAATGTATAAAAAATAAAGATCTTGTGTTAGTGGTTTATATTGATATATACATAACTATAACTATATAGAAATGAATTATGAGTATTATCTGTAAGCAGGCATGGGCTAGCAGAATTCCAGCAGAAGAATAGAGTGAGAGGTGAGAACCCAGAGGGGACGATCAGTGACTTAACCCATCCATAATATCCAAAACATTATAGTTTCGGTGGTTTATGACAAGTCTAGTACCGAAGAATTCCTTGGCAGGTGAACTCCCAGCACTTTTGGTCGCATGTAAATCCTTGACTTGTCTGCTCTTAGCCAAACCAAGATCCTCGCTCTTGCTGAGTCCCGGGTTATTTCTTCTGGCAATAACCTCCTCCAACAATCTTCTATCCTCTTGAGAAATTTGAGTTCCCAATGGCTTGTTGCCACTGTCCACGGATAGAATTAAAAACTGTCGCATCTTAGACTGAAGTTCGAGTACCTTGGGTGGAGACCGCGTAGGCATTGATTTCAAGGTATTTTGTCTAGATTTTACAAAGCTAATTAAATGGTGAAGCCATGCCAACAACTCAATTATGTAAACGTCTATCTTCCTCTTGTCGGCATAATAAAGTGTCTGCAGGCGAATCAGGTTACTTTCTCTGGAGGTGTTATCACCGAAGTCAGTACTGCAATATCAGAACAAGAGTTATTTATTCAAGAGTTATTTTGAAATTCTTCTAACTGCATATATGTAAACACAATAGTTGTATGCCAATAAATATTAAGATATTCAACTTTAGCGCAAACCTTGTATTTGCCCATTCACCAACCCATCCGAAACCTTGATGTGCTCTGTAATGAATATCAATAGAGAAAACAAATACATAAACAGTTGTTGGAGTTTTTAGCCCATTTTCACACAAAAAGAATAAGACCAACATGAAGAAGAGAGAAAAAAAAAAAAAAAACAAGTATAACCAAATCCAAACAAATATATTACATATCTTACTTGACTGTATTTGCGGCAACTGGTACAAGCCATTGAAGAATCTTCTCCATTTCGGCTTTGATCTGAGTAATGGAGAGCTACAGAAAATTGATATGTCATTTAACAAAATCCAAAACAAAATAAAACTCTCTTTCCATGAAGTCAAAGTGACTACTCCCCTAAAAAGGAATGGCATTATGGCACCATAAAAAGGCCTAGAAAATGGAAGGTTATGGATATTCAGTAGAAGGAGGGTAATACCTCTTTCATGTCAGCAATGGTTTGCAACTGAGATGGAAGAGCAGTCTTAATATTGTTGGGCAAACTATGATACAATGTGTCTCTTATGTTTGGAGGAAGTGCAGTTGGGCGAGATGCCTGATATAAACAAGTGTTGTTTTATTAAAAACATTTATTTGTAAGGTCATAACAATTTTGTTCAGCATGAAACATACAATCATATTTATTTGATTGATGATGTTAGCATAGTGCAGCGCAAGACCAGCTTCTCCTAGTCTTTCATGACCCTCACAGTAATTGGCTGCAGCTGTACCTGCGATAAATCCACAATTTCGCATGTTCTAATTATTATGACCAATCAACGAGATCTAGATCTACATGATAGATAACACAAACAAAAAGTATATTTTCATACAAGTCAATACATGACTGGAAACACAAACATTAAAAATAATAAAGGAATTTACATCATTGTCTTGCAGTTTTTCCAAGTGCTTTTACTCAGTTAGTCAATCCAAGCAGAAAAGATGATTTAACAGAAGAAATTGTAATCTCATTTTATTAGAGTCATATAACTTTTGTTGTATGCATACCATGATTCCAAAATAATCTTCAGCAATAAAAATTGCATATTAAACAATATGACGTGTTTAATTTCAAGGCTTTATTTTCTTTGTAAATATGCATCTATTGCCGTTAATTTCAAGTAGCTCAACCACAAAGAGAAAAGCAGCTGGTTATTTCCAGTTACATATGATTAAAAAACAAAAGCATAGAAAACATTGAAAAGTTTAATCTACACGGTCTGTTAACATTAAAAATAATAATGTCAAAGGATTTTAATGCCTCTGATTTGAATTTTTGTCTCCATAACAGGATTAAATGAACAAGTTCAGACTTCAAACCCTAAGATAATTCCTAGAATCCTAGTGCATAAAGAAATGCATATTATCTAGCTATATTAGATACATCAGTTTTTGGTTCTTAAGAGATACAATCTCATACCATGGTTTCCGAGGAACTCGTAAATTGCTTGATGTATATAGGTAACAATATCCACGAGCTTTTCAACCATCTGCAGTAAGCAAATTCATTATAAAAAAAGTAAGTCCATTCTTGTAAATCCGCAGCTATAAAACATTCACTTCAAAGAAGTAAACATATGGGGAAATTCTAAATTCAACAATAATAGACGCAAATCAAGAAATATTCGATGAGTGAAAATATACCTCTTCCAAAGTTCTGGACCAAAGAGACTTCTTTTTCAAGCTCCTCACAAGCTTTCTTTGGTGCTTTAGCTCACTTTGAAACATTGAGATACTCTCCCCTACAATTGTAAAAAGAATACAGCCATCAATCATTGGTTAACATCGGCAGAATAAAATTTGCAAGTGTCCCGCGGGTAGTATGTAAGTCAAACCGAAAACCCAAACTGCATCTGAAACTACTTCTAAGCCTACCAATAATAAGAATTTGTTCAGCCAACAGTGGGTAACAAAGATTATAAAGCAATAATTTTTGTGCGATATTACTATATACTCCGCTCAAATATTAAGAAAAAAAAAAAAAACTAAAACCCTCTAGAGTATAATAAGTATCATTTATTTATTTGGAAAGATTTGAGGAAAAACTACATTATGAAATTTCTAACCTTTTAGAGGAAGATTTAAGGACTCCATTTCCTTAATCTTTTGCAGATAATCTTGTTCAAAACGTTCATAAGCATTCAATTCATGGTATAATTCCTACAAAACGAGGAGAAAATCGGTAATTAAAGAATGAATTGCTAAAAAAAATTGAATTGAAACCTTAACTTGAACCAATAAAGAACTTAGAAAGCGTATCAGAATTAGAAACAAATAATAGGAACCATATTAATAAACTTGCTAGTATGCACTGCACAAGGGCAAACCAAAGATCCGTGAATCAATATCATGCAGCGTACATCGAAGAAACCAAAATAATGACAAAAGATTTACTCAGTTGTCAACTGAAGAAATTAAAAATTATGCGGAACTTTATTTAAAATGACAATGAGCTCACAGCAGTATTCCGAACTAGACTGGTAAACTCCTGCATTGTCTTTTCCGCCTCTGCTTGACATTGTTTGTCATCCAGGACATCCAAGTCTAATCTGATAATTTTTTGGTCAAAGGTTTTAATGTGAAATTTGTGTGATTGAATGTAATCAGCTAAGAATTCAATCATGACAAGTTGCTTAATCTTGTCAATAGAAATGCACATGGAAACTCACCTTGAGAAATATCTATCTAGGTTGTGCCACTGTGGATCTTTACACATATTTCCAAATCTTGCTACTTCCCGTGAGAATACATTGAATTCTCCCCTACAAATTCCCCCAAAAAATCAGAAACAAAGAGCACAGAAAGTTCAAAGCGACGAGAAACAAGAACCATATTCTTTGAACAAGCTAAAACCTTTTGTCAGCCTCAGCAAGTGTTACTAACTCCTTCATATCATTTGAGACTAATAGTTGAACCCCCTCCGATTGTAAAACATCCTTTTTAAGAAACTGGATATTTTCTTCAGAAAGTGATTGAAACAAAATTGCTCCTTTGGTTATTGTATTAGCTACTTCAAATGCCAATATTGATATCTTATTCCCTCTGGAAGTCGTGCCAGAGACAAAACCACTACTATTTTTTAACTTTGGCATGCCACTTCCAAGTGTGTCCAGAACTTCCACTGCCCTCTCGCCAGCTTTTCCCAGGAAAGAACCTCTCTGGTTCACCTATGAAAAAAATAGACATCAATCATGAACCATTCAATTTTTTAGAAGATCCCTAACATACCATGAAATGCCATTCAAGAAACTCTATTTTATACACGAACTATAGAGGCATGCCACAGATACATTAAATTATCACAACTGGCGGCCATTCAGAAACTGCAGGCACCAATGTAATTCCCTTCAACATCCAATTCTAGAATAGCAGGAAAGCGGTTATTTCAACCAATCAATTTCCACGGAAACAATCCTAACGATGTGCATATTCTCAAACCTCCCAAATAAATACATAAATCGATGCAAGCGGTATGAAAACACACCTGTTTTCCTCCAGTTGAAGTTGGAGTCGATAAACCAAGTTCATAAGAAAACCCAGAGTCGTGCCTCTTTTGCTTTCTACCTTGACCGCTACCAGACCTAGAATCTGAAAAAGCTTCTCCACGATTCACAAAGCTATTTTCCTTCTTAAGCTTCCCAGAAAACCCCAAACTCTTCCCTCCGAGTTCAGCATTTCTCTCCACCATGCCAGCCGAACAAACCGCTCCCATTACTATCTTCCTCTAAAAGTTACCAACAGTGACCAGAAAACGAAATGCAACACAATACAACACACCACAAATAAAAACCTAACACCTGCGCAAAAATAAACAGTTTTTGATTAAAGTTCAACTGTGCTTCGATTAAACAACAAAAATAACGAAGCATTGGAAGCTCGAGAATGGGAGCGTACCTATTTACAGAGAGTGTTGGGAGTGGAGATGAGAATTGGGATTAGAAAAGGAGAGAATGGGGATGGTAAGGAGGTATAAAAAGGGAAAAGTCGACGGGAATTTACGACTCTGGGGTTTGACTAAAAACTTGAAAGATAGAGATGAATGAAGACATTATGTTGTTGTTGATGGCATTCATTCATTCATTCATATGGTTGAAATATTTGAACGAATCATAAATCAAATAGTAAAAGTAAACAATTTATGAAAAGAGGAAACGCGCAAATGGAATGAAGTATTTGACTCGACGTGGCACTCCCACAATCAATGCCAGCGACGACTCTCTCTTCCTTCCTTCCTTTCAGACACCAAAACGTGAAAACACAGCAATTCCAAGTCGCGCCCACCATCTGGATGGACCCTTCCACTCTTATGTATCAACAAACACTTCCATTCTTTTAGTATTACACATTTTTAGATATTAATTAAAAATACTAAATATACAATTTTAACACAGCTCATAATATAATATATATGTTAATTATCAATTAACTGGTATTGGTCTTCTTTGACTGATAATATGATTAAGATTATTAAACAGTAACAATTAGTTAATTTCATCACCTTATCATGGTTTATTAAAGACGTCGTATGAGAATATTAAGCAAATAGTTGCATATTTATTTTAAAGGTATGGATGCTTATGTTTTATTCAACTATAATATATAAGATCTTAGTTTTTAATTATTGTTTTTTATTTTCCAAACTCGAATTAAAAATTTTGTTTAAACGAAACTAGATTTTGTATCTGTGCGTCACACGGGTATACATATGTTATTTCTGTAGTATGGTGCATTCTTGTTAATTGTGTTTATTTCTTATTATTTTATATTTTATAATGCTATATTATTCTTGTAAAAATAAAATTAACTTTATTAAGATTATAACATTATTTCACTATTATTTTTATTTTTATTAATGTTGGCTATTTTTATTTACATTGAGTTTACTTTAATATTATAGTATAAATGTGTGTATATATAATAAAATTATATGTTACAAGTACAATTAAGGAATTTTTTATTCAAGATAAATTTAATTTTAATTTAAATACTTTTTTTCTTATATTAGTATCTCATTTATATATTTTATTTTTACAGAATAGGACTGAATACATTAGACTAAAAATAATGTGATTTAATATATATTACATTCTTTTCTATTCGTGTTTATTTATATATTTTCAAACTCGCCATCGGATCAGGCCTAACCTCTAAGATTAATTTTCACACAATATTACTGATGATCAACGGAATTCTAACATGCAAGTGAATGGTGTATGGTTCCACAAAAAAATGTTATTATTATTATTTTTTTTTTTTTAAGGTTATTACTTCTCACCCTACATAATATTCTACAAGTTACTTTTCAGCTAAATTTGGGCAATGTACAATGCAACACTGGTAGAGCCTTTCGTAAAATTTTGGGTATGCTTCTAGTGTTAAAATTGTTCAAACATATAAGGGGTGAAATTTGAGGAGGTTTTATGGTTATCATTGAAATTTAAACTTTTATATAAGTTAAAATCATGACAGCTAATTTGGTTACTGACCATGTTAGATAACGTGGCTGGAAGAGATTATTATTGTAATGTAACTTAAAATTGGTGACTGAAGCATCTCATAATAAGTCTAGGGTATCTTTACCTATTAGGAGGAGATTACGTTTTGATTTGTTCCTCCATACAATATATATTGTGTCACATGGTTACCCCGAAGAAAACAAATGTGCAACAAATACTATTGTAAAATTTGGTTTAACTAATAGATTGTATTTTGCTTTATTTAATTTTAATATAGCATAAATATGTTACAAATAATTGGTAACTTTGATGTGTTAATCTTGTTGGGTTGGGATGTGATTGTTCACAATAAAGTTTAGTACATAAACTTTAAAAGATGGAAGTCAAAGACGTCAAATTTTGAGTTTGGAACACTAGGTTATGTTATTGAAATTTGTGATATTTATGTTAAAAAATTTTGGGTCATGTATATATATATATATATATGATATATATTTATATATGTTAGAGTCATTATTTATTAAGTCCAAATAATAAAGTGATCTGATTAAATTAAAAAGGTTTAGTTAAAGCGATATGTCATGAAAATAAAATTGTGTAGAGACCATAGAGTAATTTCTAATTTGATGAGAGATCAAATTAGAAATACTAAAACTTAAGTAATTAACTTAATTTTGGTTATTTTAAGGTGTCATAGTCACTTTTGGAGACGCGTAAAGCGAACACACTTACGATTCCAGTTCTTTTTTCTATCCCCATTAAGAGAGAAAACAAAGAGGGAAATACGAGTGTTCTTCAAGTGGAAGACAATAAGATCAATAGTGCTCTAAAATGGACATCATCATTATGGCTAATTCAGGTACGTTTTCACATTTAGTTTATAACATGTTTACAGTACGAGATTACTTTATATTTGATCGTTAAATTAAAGATCATAATTAATTACATTTTACCTAATAATTGATATCAGAGTAACCCATTCTTGATTCATGTTTACATTTGAAAATTAGATTCTTGCTAATTTATGAACCCTACATTCAAATTTGGGTAAAATCCCCAATTTTAAAACCTAATTTCGAATTTGAGGGTGAAAGCCCTGCTTCTGCTCCTTCGTCTTCATTGGGTAATTCAGTCACGGGGCTGCTCGCGACCGAAAGGGGAAGCGTTGGAGAGGTTTGAACAGCGGTGGCTTATGCCTAATTCAGGGTCATAAGGGGGAAGACTCTGCGAGGCACTCCTCCAGTAAGGTTACCCCGTCAGGGTTCTCGTTAGGTCCACCAGCGATATCTCTTCTCTTTCTCTGCACATCGAAATCAAAAACCCCCAAACTCCTCCTGCACCATCGTCACCCCACTGGCAACCCAGCACGCCGGAGACCTGGCTCAGCGAGCCGATGCGAGCGACGGAGGTGTCGGCGACGGCGAGCTTGGTGGGAGGAGGCGCGACGGGCTTGGCGGAGCATAAGACAACATTCGGAGAGGGACGAGAGTGGCGGTATGAAAAGGGGCGGTGAAGGTTGCATATAGCGTGAGAATCAAACGTGAGTGATGACATGCTGTTCATTGTGAACACAGAGGATGGATTACTGCAGAGAGTAAAAAACAAACACAAAAGGGCACACAAAAGGAGTGTGTTGTTGACAACTACTGGCCGTCCTCGGCGGTGTGGTTGGCTTGATATAGTTGCCTTGAAATACTCGTGTCAGATCAACGGGTTTTCATCGTTGAATCTTACCAAGCTGGATGTTTTATCGGATCTTGAAGAAATTCAGTTGGGTGTCTCTTACAAACTTGCTGATGGCACCCTAATCAAATCATTTCCTTCTGACCTCCTTCTTCTTGAGCAATTGAAAGTGGAATATGAAGTACTTCCTGGATGGAAGTCTGATATTTCTTCCATAAGAAACTACTCTGATCTTCCAAAAGCTGCGCGGCAGTACGTGGAAAGGGTAGAAGAACTTGTGGGAGTCCCTATCCACTACATTGGTGTTGGACTTGGACGTGATGCCCTCGTATACAAATGATTTCACGTTGAATTTGCATGCCTCTGTTGGTAAGTTGAGGCTTTTTGCGGTAGAGATATGTCTATTCCCCCTAACATTTGTGGTGACGAGTAAGGAGTACCATCATTATGTAATATGTTGCTAGTCGTTGTGAATGGCATTTTGGGTTCATATAGAAATTTGATTCAGGGTACTTCACCGTCTAATTTTGCAATACTTGTCGCATGATGAGTATGAATTAGATGTATGATGGTAACATCTGTCCCCCTTATTGTGTTTTTTTTTTACTCATGTAGTAGAAAATAATGTTGTACTTGTAGCTACCCAAAGGCTTTTTGCTTTCAAGTATCTATCTACAAAATTGCATCATGGTTGTGTTGATCCATGTGCATTCTTTATTTATTCTCGCTAATCATTAACCATCAAATTCACATGGCTTGGTGTTTAGTGGTTCAGATTTCTGTGACTTTTCTTGCTGACCATAACAAAAAGGTTGCACCTTTGATCATTGCATAAGATCTCCATCAGTACTCCTGGTTGCTTTTGCATTTCTACTTCTGCTTGAAAAGTTTATCGAAACATAGTATATGAGTAGACGACGTGAAGGAGTTATAAAAAAAAAACTACTTTTATGCCTTATTCTTCAATGTATAATCTGGTTCAACTCAATGAGTCGCGTGGCACACCGTCATCATGGTAAGATGAATGGTTGTTCCTCTCTTGGCGCGTAGCTTCGAATAGCTAGGTTTGTTGCACAGAGAAGTTGGGTTAGCAACTAAAGAATTGGGTTCGTGTGGTGGTCCCCAGGAGAATTCATATTCCAGTGTTAATTCTTGCGCAACATGAAAAATGATGTATTTTATTAGTTACAATATTTGGTTTTGCTATATAATGAATATATTCAGTTTTTTTTTGTAGTTTAATATTTTTTGTGAACAAATTGAGTCAAGAAGTTACCAAAGTAACATTTCTTGAATTGGGTAGTTCATGAAAAATATTGAATGTTAGTGTTTGTGTATATTCATGTGAGTATTAGTCGGCACAAAGGAAGATTAATATTTGGTCGAATTATATACACACTTGTAATGATAAACATGTGATAATTATAAGGATTTGCTTTGTCGATGATAAATCAATCCAAAGACTGGTTTGTTGTTGGACGTGCTTTATTGTCAATGTTTGATTATTATAACAAAATACCTCTAACAGTTAACATTCTTGTCCAAAGACTTGATATTGATGGTGCATTGGGTGTCTTGAGATGTGTTAAACCATTATTTGAATATATATTTTATTTATAATTATTTATTTTTTATAATGTGAGCATAATTAATTTATTTCTCTTATTTTTAATTTAGCAACAATTGTTTCACGTATCCGCCAATTTAAATTATGTTTTGATCCTCAAAAGTATGTCTCCTATTTTGATCTGTTCTGAATTCAATTTAGCGTCAGTACCTAGTAACACTTGGTGGTTAGACTCAGGTGCAACTACTAACATCAGTGTTTCTATGAAGGGTTGCTTAAACTACCGGAAGCCAATTGATTCTGAAAGATGGATATATGTTGGAGATGGAAAATCGGTAGAGGTGGAAGCCATAGGGCATTTTAAATTGTTATTGAGTATTGGTTTTTATTTGGATTTGAAAGACACTTTTGTTATGCCGTCATTTAGACGGAATTTGGTTTCAGTTTCTTATCTGGACAAATTAGGTTATTTGTGTTCATTTGGAAACAATAAGTTCAGTTTGTCTTTTAATTCAGATATTATTGGAACTGATTCACTTTTGCCTTATGATAATCTATATTTACTTGATATTGTGGCCACCTATAATGAAACCATTAATACAGAATCATGTGGTACTAAAAGTAAAATTGAAAATACTCACTCAAGTGCATTATGGCACAAGTGCTCAGGTCACAATCAAATTGTGACATTTGGGCTTGTGTTACACTCTTAAAGATATGGTAGAGAGTATGATTTGTCATTCCACCTTACTAGAATCACTTTGGGGAGAGACACTAAATACGACATCTTATATTCTAAACAGAGTACCAACTAAAGCAGCTACCAAAACACCTTATGAACTTTGGATTGGGCGACAACTTAGTCTGAAGCATTTCCATGTGTGAGATTGTCCAGCTGAGGCAAGACCTTATAAGTCAAATGAAAAGAAATTGGACTCCCGAACAGTAAGTGGTTATATTATTGGTTATGCTGAAAGATCCAGGGGATATAAATTTTATGATCCCACATTAAAGACAATTTTTGAGACGGGAACTGCTACGTTCTTTGAGGATATTGAGTTTGGGGGGAAGAATAAGATTAAGAATTTCATCTTGGAGGAAGAATCGGTAACAATTTCAGAACCGATTCAAATAGTTACTTTTGATAAAGTAAGTTCGGAACCTCTACAAGGCATTGTTGATGAACCCCTTACTCAAGATGATTTGGTTGTTCATGAAGAACAAACTCAAGATCCTCAAGAACCTGTGCATTATGAGCTAATAATTTGCAGAGATCCACTAGAGAAAGAAGAAGTGCTATTTCAGATGATTACATGGTATTTCTTCAGGAACATGAGGAAAATAATGATATAATGGAAGATGATCCAGTTAACTTCCGTCAAGCTATACAAGGTTCTAACTCTCAAAAGTGGATTGAAGCAATAGGATAAGTATAAGTACATGCAAGACAAAAAGGTTATTGGGAACTAGTCCCATTACCAGAAGGTATGAAACTCATTTGGCTTCAAGATGAATATTGTTGATGATTGTATGTATCACAAGTTTAAAGGGAGACAAGTTTAGTCTCAATCAGTGCGTAAAGGGGAATTTGGAAATTGAGGAAATGCAAAAGATTCCCTATGCATCAGCTGTAGGGAGTTTGATGCATGCCCAAGTATGTACGCGTCCAGACATAGCATACATAGTTGGGGTTCTAGGCAGATATTTAAGCAATTCAGAAATAGACCATTGAAAAGTAACAAAAAGGGTTATAAGATATTTAAAGAGAACAAAAGATTATATGCTCACATATAGGAGGTCAGACCAGTTGGAGATCGTTGGGTTTTCTGACTCAGATTTTGCAGGATGTCAAGAATTTGTAGCATGCTATGAGACATCAAATCATGGAATATGGCTGAGAAATTTTGTCACAGGGCTGCAAATAGTGAAAGACATTGAAAGACCACTTAAGTTATATTGTGACAATAAATCAATCTGTATTGTTAAGGAAAGAGTACAAAGTGGACAGATTTCCATAGAACACTTAAGGACAAACTCCATGATAGCATATCCTCTAACTAAAGGACTTCCGCCCAATGTCTTTCATGAGCATGTCGCTCACATGGGTGTTTTACAGTTTGAGGAATTTGTGGTTTAGTGGGAGTTAGTCACTTTCATATATTTTATGTTCTATGTTTAATTTTATATATGTATACATTGTTTTTGGACATATTTGGTTATCTATAGATATGCGGTTTTCTTGTTCATTCATTACACTTTGTACATTAAGGTTATTATATCGATCTCAATAAGTTAAAGTTTGGATCAGTTGAAAATAGACGTGTACAGATCACCTTCACGTAATTTTTCATGCTACACATTTCATGATGAATCCATGTCATTTGGTTATGTCAGGATGAGTAATCATTGTTGGTTTTAGTTGCGATGATGCAATAAAAAGCTGGTTTGGTTCTATATCTTGATATGATTAATGGACAGGACTTTTGGAATATGCTAAAGGAATATAATGACAATTTTGAGCTCATAAAGTCTAACACATTTGTGAGGTTGTAAGGACATATATATTTGTGACCAGTTGGAGATTGTTGGCAAAATTTGGGTCATGTATATATATGATACATAGTTAAATGTGTTAGGGTCATTATTTATTAAGTCAAATAATAAAGTGATCTGACTAAATTAAAAAGGTTTGACTAAAGGCATATGTCATGAAAATAAAATTGTGTAGAGACTATAGAGCAATTTTTAATTTGATGAGGGGCCAAATTGGAAATACTAAAACTTAAGTAATTAACCTAATTTTGGTTATTTTAAAGGGTCATTGTCTCCTTCTGGGAGCACGTAGACAGGACACACTTACAGTCCCGTTCTTTTCTTTCTATCCCATTAAGAGAGAAAACCAAGAGGGAAATACAGGTGTTCTTCAGGTGGAAAACCATAAGATCAATAATGCTCTAAAAGGAACATCATCACTATGGCTAATTCAGGTACGCTCTCGCAATTAATTTATAACATATTTACAGTATGAGATTATTTTATATTTGATCATTAAATTAAAGATCATAATTAATTACAGTTTACCTAAGAATCTAATCTAATCAAATTGTGTTTACATTATTAATCTGTCATCCTTATATAATAAAAATTTATATTGAGATACTACCGTTTCTTTATCCCGCGTAAGTGATAGGTCCTTTAACTTCCCGTTTGTTGAGTCAGATGGTTCCAAATATGCTGCTACTATGACTACTATTAGTCCTAAAATAGGGGTGGAATCTAGTGTGGATCAAGGAGGTGAAGTTGTAACGTGTTGCTCAAAAACCTCTAACCTGGGCTACCCCAAATTGCTGGAATATTCAAAGGTTTCTACATCTTACTGATACAACTTTTCAGTATTCAGTCTAACATTGTCTTTTGAGGATAATAGCTAAACACGTTCTTTCGCCAGAGGAAAGGGATCCCGAACCGTGCACATGATTTCGATCTACAAAAGGAATTAAAATAGGGGATGTGTGCTCATCTTTATAAAACTTCAATTCCTAGACTCACATGTGCCATAAACTAGATAGATAAAAATTAAAAACAATAACATGACACTGTCCAACATTTAACCCGTTTCATTTTGAGATCTCATATCATCTTTCTTTTTTTCAACTATAATATATTTTTTAGCTAAATTAATAAAAAAAAACAAGTCTTTAAATATTGATAGATTATGTTTATTAAAAAAAACTTTTAAAATTATGAGATTACTCAAAAATCTGAAAACAACAAGGCTTAGTTGGTAAAAAATATTATTAAAATTATAATTAAAAAGATAAATGAAGTTGTTAAATGTGTTGTTTCTGCTATGAATGTTAGATGCATTGACACATCAATGAAATAGAAAGACATAAATATATTGTTAATTTTATTGAATGTATTATGCTCTTTACAATAAATGTAAGATTACATCCTCAAAAGTGTGGAGAGTTGCATGTATGGTAAAACATTTAGATACATTCGTCTATGTGTATCATTGAAACAGTTCCTCGTCAATTTATAAGTTATTAGACAATTTGTCATTAATCTTGACATATTTTTTCTATTATATACTTTAAATAATTGTTTAATCCTAACAAATTCAATAATTTTGTTTTTTTTTCTTACTTCTCGTTGATGTAGTTTATATATATATATATATATATATATATATATATATATATATATATATATATATATTATCATGTTTTATAAACCATTTAGGTGGAATAACATCCTTGATAACTTATATATTTATAAAACCATGTTTTAAGTGTGTTCATAAAAAGATGTAATTATTTTCTGTTTAATTGCGTAATAATTACGAATTATGAAATAGATAATAAAATAAATAGGTATTGGTGACAATTTTCTATTCATTAACTATTATTATTATTATTACATGTGAAAAAAACTTTAAATGATAGGTAAAGTGAAATATAGAGAGTAAGGATAATATAAAAATGAAATTGAGAGATAATACTGGTGTTCTTGTCAATAACATACCAGAAGGAATCTATTTATTTTAAGACAGTGTAAGTATAAAATATTTATTTTTATGATTAAAATAGATTATTATATTAAAATTAAATAAAAAATAAATATTATATACAAATATAGATAGATATAAATATATATTATATCACCAAAATAGAAATATAAATAAAATTGAAAAACATAATAGATTGTACCTATAACTTAACTTCTATATAAGTTTTTTCTATAGTCTAATTCCTATAAAAAAAGTGCTATTGTGTTTATTATTATGACACATGGTTAAATTTAATATTAATTAGCACGTTAATAAGTAACTAAGTGTATCCTTGTATATCTACAAGAGTATATTATAACCACTATAATCACATCCAATAATTGAAAAATCTAAAAACAACTATTTGTTGTTTTAACTTATAGTATAGCCAATACTAGAGAATTGAATAGTGGTATTATTATTATAGTTTAAATAATCAATATTTATTATAATTTAAATAATAGATAAGTAGGAGATAAAAAAGTTAGATAATATATAAATAATAAATTAAAATTATTTAACTATGAAAGTTAAAAAATCAATATTGTAATTATATACCAGAAGGAAAATCAAACTTTGGAAACAATATAAGACAACTTTTATTTTATTTTTTATCTAAAAAAATGGAATGCATGTAAGGGAATTTAAAACAATTCAGACAACAATGTACACATTTGTAAAATCAATAGACTTAATTTTTTTTAAGGTAGAGAGGGGAATTTAAGTTTATATTGTATAAAAAAAAGGAAAAAAAAGAGTAGCATATTATTTGTAATAGAATAGAAAGAAAATTATGATTGGCCATTGGAATGGATTTAATCTGAATAGAAAACGCACCGAATAGAGGCAATCAATCATGGGATGGGTAATAATGTAAATGAAGATTGAGGAAGTGGGGTCTGAGGGATAACGTGAACGAAGTTATGCGCTGGTATGGTAGGTAGCGGTAACATGGCTGTCACCCTTGGAGAATGAACGGCACAGGGTACCTCACTCGAAAACAAAATACCCCGCCCTCCATTATTACCATCTTAACCTCCGAATATCCCTCTTTCCCCTCTCTCTCTCCAATTCCATAAATGACTGCACTGTCCTGAACGCATTCCACTGCATTTCATTTCATTTTCCTCTCACCGCCAAACAAACTCCAAACCCTAAATCTCTCTTTCTCCCCTCGTCGGAACCATGAGAGAGATCTTGCACGTCCAGGGAGGCCAATGCGGCAACCAAATTGGTTCCAAATTCTGGGAGGTCATCTGCGACGAACACGGCATAGATCCCACCGGAAAGTATAACGGTCTTGGAAACTCCGATATCCAACTCGAGAGGATCAATGTCTATTACAACGAGGCCTCTGGCGGAAGGTACGTTCCTAGAGCCGTGCTTATGGATCTCGAACCTGGAACCATGGACAGCATTAGATCTGGCCCCTACGGCAAGATCTTCCGCCCTGACAACTTTGTCTTCGGCCAGTCCGGTGCTGGAAACAACTGGGCGAAAGGTCATTACACCGAAGGCGCTGAGTTGATCGACTCCGTTCTCGATGTCGTTCGCAAGGAGGCTGAAAACTGTGATTGCTTGCAAGGTATATATATCTGCATACACATTTCTTTGCATATAAATCTCCGCATGTAACCTTGTTCCTGTTCGGTTGTATTTTTTTTTTTTATGTCTTTCTATTTTCAAATTCCTTAATGCGAGGGTAGATCTTCAGATCTGTAAAATCTCCTATGTTTTTTTTTTTTTTTTCTGTGTCTTAATGTCATTGATTGCAATGGTTTTGAACTTCCGATATTTATGTTCTCAAAAATTGCATTGATCAAACTGTGATTTGTTGTTGTTATGGTAGACGGTTATGGATCTCTAAGTTTCTCTCGGTCACATGCATGATGACTTAGATCTCAATGGTAATGGAGTTTGAGCTTAATGATAAATGCATAAGATCTAGCATTCTTGTATGTAATTGGTTCTATGAGATCCAATCACTTTGCATAGTGCTGAAATTCTTGATTAGTGGACCCCATATATTGAATGTTAGACACATTTTGTTGAACAACAACCTACACTTCCAGGTTATTACTGATATGCGAGGAAAGGGAAATAGTAGTGCTACATCAACTCTCCTTGTTTTATAATAGTTTTTCTTTTGTAAATCTATCATAAAAATAGAAGAATAACACAGGAGATTTGGAGTCCTATCACTGTTCCAGGAATCAAGATATTTTTTTTTATGTCATCTTTTTACCGCAATAATTGCTGTCTCAAATCTCAATTATCTATTTTATTTTATTTTATTTTTCTTGTTTCATCATGCAATTGGATTGCATGTTTCTGGGAGAATATGACAGCGCTGAGCTGTTAAATGTGACCCCTGTTGTCTAGAATGACGACAGGTAGGGACCACCTTATATCTTTTATATTGTCTAATTAATTAAATAGAACTACTTAAAATCTGGTTATTTTATATTGTCTAATTAATTAAATTGAACTACATAAAATCTGGTTATTTTTCTCTACGTACTTTTATTTTTATTTTCTGCATTGATATTTGAGTATTTCTTAATAATAATAGTAGTAAAAATAATAATAATTATAATAATAATCCTACATTGATACTTTTTATCTTTACTTTCTCAAATAAATTGTTATTTTGATTTATACAGGAAAGTATGTGTTCAAATTGGATATTTAATTCTGGGAGCAAGTTACTGCAAATATACTAGTTTACCCCTTGCTTCTGAATTTGTAGATTGTATTGAAAACACCTGCATACCAGCGACGCAGATTCATGAAAGTTTTGTTTAATGCTATTCAGCCATGAGTTATTACTTAGCCAACTCATAATATAATCTAGTAAGCATCCAGCTTCACAAAGTTTTCAGAAAAGAACACAATTGTCTTTGATCGGATTGTGCTGCAAAATGCGACTGTTTTCATGCTTGAGTAGCTGTTAGCATTACTCAGAACATAATGTTGTTGGTATGCTTTCATGGTCTTGAAATGCGACTTCCATTAGATTTGAATTTAATTGAAATGTTTCATGTGACATGTAATTGTCTCAATCTTGGTACCTGCTGTAGGGAATCTGAGTTTCACTAATGCTAGAGAGCTTAAATTTATATCATCTTTTGTCCTGAAATCTGAAGGTCTAATTTAATTTCCTCAGGTTTTCAAGTTTGCCACTCTCTTGGAGGAGGCACAGGTTCCGGCATGGGAACACTATTGATATCAAAGATTAGGGAGGAATACCCAGACAGAATGATGCTCACTTTCTCTGTTTTCCCATCTCCTAAGGTTTCTGACACAGTTGTGGAGCCATACAATGCCACTTTATCTGTACACCAACTGGTTGAAAATGCAGATGAGTGCATGGTTCTTGATAACGAAGCGCTTTATGACATTTGCTTTAGGACATTGAAACTCAGCACCCCTAGCTGTAAGTATTGTCTTGTAGTGACACAATTTCTCTCAGATTAGGATATAGATAACTTTTACTGATTTCTCTCCTCATGGTTTAATTGCAGTTGGTGATCTCAACCATCTTATTTCTGCAACAATGAGTGGGGTTACATGTTGTCTGAGGTTTCCTGGACAACTGAACTCTGACCTCAGGAAGCTGGCTGTCAATCTGATTCCATTTCCCCGTCTTCACTTCTTTATGGTTGGATTTGCACCTCTCACTTCTCGTGGGTCTCAGCAGTACGTCTCACTTACTGTCCCAGAGCTGACTCAGCAAATGTGGGATGCCAAAAATATGATGTGTGCTGCTGATCCTCGACATGGCCGATACTTGACTGCATCCGCTATGTTCAGGGGAAAAATGAGCACCAAAGAGGTGGATGAACAAATGATCAATGTGCAGAACAAGAACTCGTCATACTTTGTTGAATGGATTCCCAACAATGTGAAGTCCAGTGTGTGTGATATTCCTCCGAAGAATTTAAAGATGTCGTCCACTTTTATTGGGAACTCAACATCAATTCAAGAGATGTTTAGGAGGGTGAGTGAGCAGTTTACTGCTATGTACAGGCGCAAGGCCTTTTTGCACTGGTACACTGGGGAAGGAATGGACGAGATGGAGTTCACTGAGGCAGAGAGCAACATGAATGATTTGGTGGCAGAGTATCAGCAGTACCAAGATGCAACTGCAGATGAGGATGGAGAATTTGATGAAGAAGGTGATGAGGACCAGTATGGTGAGCAGTAACTGGATCGAATTTAGGCTATGCCTAATTCCAATGCCCGATCTACCTTTGCTGCTATTCGTGTATCTACAGCCATATGAACTTTCTCTGTCATTCCCATTTATCTGTTCTTACATTTTGCCAATTTCGTTGTTAAATGTACTGCTTTTGAATTGTTTGGAATGTGCGCGGTGAGACAATAGTCGATATTCTATCTGTTTATCTAAAAGTACCTGCTCATTATTAATTATTATTTTTAATTTTGTGCGTATTTCTACATGATTTTCAAAAATTTAATCAAAATATATTTACAATTCGAATGCAATTATGATATAATGTTTCGTAATAATTGTTTTAAATATCCTATATTACGTTTCAGAGGGCATTTAATTGACTGTTAAATTGTACTGATTGAGTTAAATATTAAAAATTTTAAATATTTTATATAGTTTTCTTAAATGGAAGAATAATAAGACATCAAATAAAAAACCAAAAATGATTTCATTATAAAAAAGAAATTATGTTGCATAATCAGTTTAAAAATATAATTTTTAATTTAAACATGAATAGTAATCTTTTTTTGACACGCTTCTAATTACTGTAAGTAACTTGTGGTCTAGTTCGGTTTGAATAAAAATTAGGCCACGTTTGTAATGGCAACTGTGTTGTGAGCGATGGAGGTGGTAACCGGTAGTAGTGGTGGTGAAAAGGAGGCAGACGGTTATTGCTAACACCAAAATGATTGGGTAATAAAATTATAGTTTAGTGGGCGTGAAGGTAAAGAAGCAGTTACGCTAGTGGAGATAAAATTAGGGAAATTCGAAATATTTCAAGTTTAATATACTATTACTACCCACGTTGAAATCACTTTAAATTTTTTTAACATATTTGTTTCAAATTTAATTTAAATAAATAACTTGAAAATTTCAAAATCAATTTTTGTCTTTAAAATTTATTTGATCAATATAATTTTTAATTAGTTTTGATTGTGGTATTATCTACCAAATAAGTAGAATGTCTCTTTATTTTTTTATTCACGTTCGAAGTATTGTTAATCATCATATTAATAATAACTCTTGTTTATATATTAATTATTATTTTTAAATTAATATTAAAAGAAATAAAAAATAACAACAAAAACACATAAAATATACATTTGTGCTTATATTGTCATGACATCAGTATACTATAACTTTTTTTATAAGAAAATATAATTAAGCAGTGAAAAATAAACAATACCTAGAAGAAAGTGCAAAAGACAGTGGAAATAAAGAAGAGGAAAAGAGTGAGAAAGAAGATAAAAGAGATGGATGGCAAGAGACAAGTTTTTTCATGTTGTCCTCAAATTTTATTCGAATTAAAACACTCTTCCAGGGAATTTAGTTTGTATTTTTTTCCTAGAGGTTTCTAGGTTATTTGATATACCTACCATTCACCAAAAAGAGAGAGCGTACCCAAAAGAAGAAAACAAACACACTCTAAAAACAATTTGGGCTTTTTCTATATAGGTCAACAGAAAGCAACAAGGAGCAAGAAAAATGCAGAGCCCAAAAACAGGCCCAATCCAGAACAGGCTAAAACAAACCCTAACTCAAAACACAACACAAGGCGGCGCGTGACATAAATTGTTATTTATTTATTTTAATTAAATGTAACTTTACTGAGAGGCGACAGAGCTACAAAAGTGCGTTAACCTTATCCCACGTGCGTTGATACTTCATAGACTTGCATAATCTTAGACTAAACATTTTGTTTAAATAAACTGTTAAGAGTTCTTGTCCCCAAACACGACTCTAGAGTATTTCAGTAATTCCCAACTATACAGTAATCTTTGCTTCATTTTTTCAGACGTTCCATATATGAGAGAGTGAAGCTAATCCAAGTTTGAAGGAAAGGTTAATCACAATCATAGCACAATAAAAATATTGTGTCGTACACAGGCAAATAAATTTAAAAACATGGCATTATCATTATCATTATTTTCATTTATGAGAAGTATATAAAATGTTTAAGAAGTAAATGGAAACGTAAATGATTAGAAGATGTAATGACCACTAAATAGGTAATGCTGATATACCATTGCACCGATTCGTGCTTTGAAACTGCCTTAAACTCTGGATCAGAAACGTTATTATCACTATCATGATTCATGAAACATAAATCCAAAAAAATCTCTGAGAGCTTCCCTAATACGTATTAAATTCCTTAGGAATAAAAAGTCAATAACAAAATTGAAGGTAAGAACTTAAAAAGGAAGAATAGAGAGAAGAATGGTATGTATATGGAAATATAACATTTGGCTAATATAATGATAATAATTTATATCATCATCTACAAGAGTAACGGGGTTTACTACTAACTCCTATTGAATTCTTGAACCTGTAAATGTGAATCCTATTCTGGCGAGCCTGAGCTGCCATGGCCCTACTCAGATTCTTGTTAGCCACACTCACGTTCACGTTCACATCCAACGATTCACAAAACTCCATTGTCATGGACTCGTCGAGTGGCAGGTTCAGATCGGGAATTCCAATTGGGCCCACATCGTTACTACTCGATGATGGTACTCCCAACGACGTCGTTGCGACTCCACAAGCCGTCTGATTAAAGATCATCGGTGGGTGATGCGCCACAGCGGGGAATTGCAGTTGTGGTTGCGGTTGCGGTTGCTTCTGTACGATAACACCTTGACTTGGGCCATTACTTAGCTGTCAAAAACAAAACCAAAAAATAGCGATTCAATAATCTATAAATCTAAATAAAGGAGTGGACCCACCATCAGAAAAAAAAGATAAAGCAACATAAATATAACTAGAACAAGAAATCCCCAAAGAAAAGAAAAAGAAGGATAAACACAAAAAAACTGGCACACTACTGGGAGTGGTAGTAGAAGCAGTGTTACCTTTTGCTTCATTGCTTTCAACTTCAGATTCGTGTCTTTCAACTTGTCAAAGTAACTCTTCACGTTCTTTATCTCCTGCCAAGGATTTTCACAGATCAACGATTTATAACCAAGATTTCTTCTTTCCTTTTTCAAAATTTCGTACTTTTACTTAACAGGGTTCAAATCCGAACACCAGAAACTCAGGAAAGAGCCCGGATTACTCGCTAAAACCCCATCTGTTACAATCGATTAAATTGAAAAGGAGAGAGAAGTTACCCCTGAGAGCAAATCGTTGGCTTTGGTCAAATCCTGTATAGTCTTCAGACAGTGTTCTCTCTTCTGCGAGTTTTGAAGAAAAACAGCAAATTACGCGGATGAAAGAAAGAGGCGCAAAAGAAAACAAAAACAGATATTTGAAAGATAAAATAAAAGGAAAAGGAGGATACCCTCTTGACAGAAACGTTTCTCCTGAAGAAAGAGGAAGGGTTTTCATCGGATTCACTGGGAGAGAAGGAGAGAGGGGTTGCGGGACTTGAAGCTTCTTCTGCTTTCGGATTAACACCAATCGCAGATCTCTTTTTCTTCCGACCCCACGACAGTGGCCGGGTTCCGCAGCCGCACTCGAATTCCCGTACAAGACTTCCGAACTCCACGAGGATATCCGCAACTTCGGTCTCCCTCGTGCTGTACGAGGAGACATACGACCCACTCCTCTGTTTCATCCTCATAATTTTTCTCCACCAATCCTAATCTTCGTTTGGCGTTCCTCTAAATTTGAATTCCCATTGGAGAGAATAAAGAGGGTTAAATAAACTTTATAGCGAGGAGCGAAGTAGATAGAGGAAGAATGACGAAGAAGAGATAGGAGAGAGAGAAAGGGAGAGAGAGAGAGAGAGAGAGAGAGAGAGTTTGCGTTTTGGTGTTGGTCGAAAGAAAGAGGCTCCTGCTGTGTATGTATGAATGCTCAATAAAAAGGGGAATTTGGAAATCCAAGCACGCGCTGAAGGTTGACACGTGTCGTGTGTGGAAGAATTGAGGTGACTAGGGTTTATGGTTTGCTTTGAGTTATTTTGTGGTTGTGTCTGTTGAGTTTGTGTGATTTTTTGGTCGCGCTCTTTTTCGCAGTATTCATTGGTCGTGCCATTTATTCTACGTTTAGATTATACTACCAAACAACACTTATCACACACTTTTATGCATTTCTATATGACCCTACTAATCTTTTTATCATACTTTTTTACGATTTATTATATCATTAAACATTATTCATAAACCCAATTTTAACAGATATTTACATTGTCAAGTATCACTTTTTTTTTGCTGTGATAATTTGATAATATATATTGTCTTAATTTATCGCTAAATGTATGAATTTTTGAGAAATTACTAATAATACTCCATACATGTGAAATTGTACTCTAATATGGTAAATGAGATTTAGAAAGTTTATAAATAAGATATATTTAGCTAAAAAATATTTTATTTAAATAGTATATACTTGTAAAAAAAATGTAAGAATTTAATGCGTCAAATCGAATTTAATGTAGTTTAAATAAAATAAATGAACATTTATTATTTTCTTGTTTAATATAATAAAAAACACGTTAAAAAAAGGTAATTGATAGTTTTATTTTTTATTAAAATTAATGTTACTTTCGTTATTAGTTACTTTATATTCATAGCAAGTCCGTAACCATTTAAAAAAAATAAAAATTAAATTGTAATTAAAAAACAGTAATTAATATTATCGTTAACTTATAAATGGCTAAAAAATATATTTTCTTTAAAAAAACAGCGAAAGGATAATATTTATTTACTTAATATATATATATATATATATATATATATATATATATATATATATATATATATATATATGGTTGTTTTTGAAAGAAAAAATATTTTTGTCCAATATTTGAAAGACAATTTTAAAATTTATTTTACTTACATAGAAAAGAATGTAAAATTTAGCTAAATATATTTATCGATCATAACAAATATTTAGTATTTACTTTTCTTACTCATCCATTCGTTTCAATTTTAAAATATTATATCACAATTTAAACTATTTACTGTAAATATAAAATATAATTTTTAACTTTACAAATATTTTTCTTTTATAACTTATATATAAATAAATATTTATTTTATAGTTGTTAATAGCATCGAGAAACACAATCGAGAATCAAATGAATTATAATCAAATGACTGTTGTCGAATAAAAACTAAGTCATATAAGACCAGGGTTAAAAAGGAATCGTGAGCAATTCGAAGTTCTCGAAAAATACAGAATCGAGAGTAAAGAAAGCCAATGTGGACATCGAGACTTTGGCCAAATTATGAAGGGAAGTAAGTCGAATGTACGTATAGAGAGCAGTTTTTGAAATCATGGGAAAAAGTCGGAGATCGTGAGAACGTGGGAAACTATAGAAGATAAACTGCCATACGCACGTAAAACGTGGTAGCAGTCGCGATAACTGCTCTCGGAAAGCTTGAAGGATGCCCTATAAATAGAGCAAAGGAGAAAAGAACAAGGGGAGCAGAAATTGGCAGAGAACAGGATCAGTAGTGAAAAGTCTACCGGAGAAACGACGAACACCATGAAGCTTCTAGCAATCTGGATTTCCTTGCTCACTGAGTACATTTACCGCTTTCTGTATTTTCCTTGGTAATTTACTTTGATGCAACTTAAATTCAGCGGTTTTATGTTTACGTATTTCGATTCCTTGTCCATTTCAATTCAATGAAAATTTGAGTTTCGCATTTAGATTTCCTGTTATTTAACATTACGCAAATCTCAATTTCCTGTCATTTACTTTTCTTGCAATCTCGATTTCTTGTCATTTATATTTGCGTTGTTTTCGATTTCTCGCTATTTACAATTAATGCAAGTTTGGGGTTCTCGCATTTTACATTTCCTCGCAATTTAATATTCTGCTTTTCGATTCGATAGTCTAAATGTTTTCGATACTTTAAATACAAAACACCAAAAACAACATTTTCGATATCCTGGAGTTTTCGATTCTCATACACGTTTTCGATTGAAAATCAAATTGCTAGCCTAAGTAAAAAGAACTTACGTGGTAGAATTTTGATTAGGACCAAAACACCCTTAGAATCGAAATCGATCGAAATTCCACCATAAACAATAGCATACTTAAATTAAAATACTATTGTATTAAAATTGAATTCATAAAGATGGAGACAACTAATTTTAAAACAGAATGTTACCATATTGAGCTCCTTATTCGTCTTTTATTTTTATTATCTTAAAATTTGGGTATTTTATGTCATTATACTTTTGTTTGTGCAAGAGAAAAAAATAGTATGTTAATTCAATATGTTTAAATCGAAAATCCATCTAGACGCTTAACTATATGAAACATTTGATTTAATTAAAATACACCGAGCATGTTAAAAAAACTAAAAACTCATTTGATTTTAAGTTATGCATAATGACAAGATTGTTGACATTTATAATAATTATCTTAAGTATAATATCTAAACAGATTTATAATTTAATAATAATATACAAATATTTACGAATGATAAATTATCAAAACTAATTATCTAAAGTTATCTTAAATTATCTTAGTCCTTAAGTTTGATTTAATTTAAATACGTTGATCATGATATATATATATATATATACACATTAGTTATTGCCAAATCAGATTTCTGAATTTATATTTGGAAATTTTAGATATGAATTCTTTAATTTGGAGTGCATTAAGCCAAAAAAAAAAAAGGTATTCGTTAATAATTTATAATTGAATATTGTTTAATTCTACTCTATTATTACAGTTTTTACATTTTAGTTACTTAGATGTGTTTTAGGTATTATATATATATATATATATATATATATATATATATATATACTATTAATTTTCTCATTTTAATATAATTTATTTCATATTTTAAATGACATCATTATGATTCAAATACTGAAAAACTTAATCAAAAAGATATAAGTCAATACTTAATCAGTACTGATTTAAAATAATTTTTGTGTAAATTACAAATTTATCATATATAATAATTTATAATTAAACATTAATAAAAAATCGTTTATAACTTATGTTGATTTACAACATATATCGAGTTTGTTAAGAAATATTAGAATTTTATTATCATACAATCACATCATTTGATACTAACGGTCAACTTTAAGCATAACTACAATCCAAATTAAGGATTACTTTTATACTCAATCTTAAAATTGAATATGTAAAAAAAAAAAAAAATCTTCGAGAGACAAAGACCCCAAATAAGCTAGTTAAAAAAATTAATTATTGTGATATAATTAAATTATACGTTTTATGCAAATTAAATCTTATATTTTAATATTTGATTTTTTATTATTATTATTTTAGCCTTTACAAAACTTTTATTTGGCATAAAAAAAAAAGTTAATAGTGTTACCCGTCATCTCATCCTACTGATTTTATCTCGTTCGAAGTCATTTTTGACGAATTCAAAATTTGAAATTTAAACTTATATATATATATTTTTATATAAGTTCGAATTATATTTTGAATTTTTCTTAATCTAACTTTATGTTATTATCGTATATTTCTTGAAAAATATTTTTCAGCATTTATATCACTAATATAATTATTTATTATTATGGTTTAACTGTTTATAATATTAAAACTAATACAACAATCAAAGTCATACTAAATTTTAAAAATTAAAACATAATTAAATTTAAATATTTTATACAAAACTTACTTAAAAAAAATATGCATATACACTACAACAATGTGAACACTATATATTATTTTGCTTGATTAAGATTAGAATGATAATTAAACTCGTAATCGAAAGAACCAATTCGTCTCTATATTAAATTTGATGGAATAAAATCAAGTTGACTAGGGATAGAGACGGGACAGAGGTAAGTTTGATACTACACTCCTCACCCCAATCTGTCTCTATTTCTTTCAGTCCCTATTTTTTAAATTTAAATTTTAAAACATTAACATTTTTTTATATATAAGGTTATTTTTTATATTTCACAATTTTTATTTTTCTTTTATATATTTTTAATAATTTTATCTTTTATATCAATTAATTTATTACATTATTCTATTTCTCTTACCTTTCACTTGTTCACATTTCTTTAATCTTTTCTATCAATTTATTTTTTTCAATATTTTCAACTAATTTGACTAACATAAAATTAATTCTTTTTCTTTTTTATATTTTTATAAACATTTACATAAGTCTTAGTAAAAATTAATATTATTTTATTTATAATTTATCTTTATTAAGTTTTATTATGTCATATTTTTTTTATTTTATTATTATTATTATTTGTCATGTATCAAATTATATCTTAATAAAATATTTATATTTTAAAAGATTAAAAATTAATAATTTATATTTTTATTACTTTACCTAATTAAATAAAAATTAACTTATTAAATACTTTCTTATAAACTATATTTTCATATTTTTAAATGACAACTAAAAAAAAGTTAACTTATATATATAAATATAGTATTATAATAATAATAATGAAATAAGTACTCTATATTTATATAAATAAAAAATTATTAAATATTTCTTTTACATATATATTTTAATATAAATATGATAAATTAAAAAATAAATTTCATTTAAAAATTATAGAATATAAATATTTATTAAGTATAAAAAATATATAAAACTTTTAAAATTAATTTATTAAAAATATAATTTTTTTAGAAACAATATAGATCATAAACGAGATAATTGAAAACCTGAAACGAGAATAAAAATTTAACTTCTAATCCTGACAAGAATTTAGAGAAGGGTAAGATGAAAATAGTTTGAAAATGCCGGAAACAGGATTGGAGGCATGGCAACAGGCGGGTTTTGCCTCCCGATCCTCGTCGGGGTTAGAAATTAAGTCCCCATCCCCGTCTCCGCTGGGTTTCGGGTTCCCGTCCCCGTCCCGTCCCCGATCTATATTATTTTTAAAAAGATAATTACATTTATAATAAATTAATTTTACTATCTATTTTTTATATATAAATAAATATTTATAATTTTATAATTTATAATAATTATTAATTAAATATACATTTTAATTTATTATATTTATATTAAAATATGTATGTAAAAGAAATATTTAATCATTTTTTATTTATAACATTATTATTATTATTATTATAATATCTGTATTCAAATATTTGAATACTTATAACATTATCATTATTATTATTATAATACTGTATTCAAACATTTGATTATATATATAAGTTAATTCATTTTTAAGTTGTAATTTAAAAATAAGAAATATATAGTTTATAATGAAATATTTAATAAGTTAATTATTATTCAATTAATTCAAAGTAATAAAAGTTTAAATTATCAATTCCTTTAATCCTTTAAAATACAATTATTTTATTAAGATAAAATTTGATATATGATAAATAAGAATAATAAGATAAATAAATGACATAATAAAACCTAATAAATATAAATTATAAATAAAATAATATTAGTTACTATTAAGATTTATGTAAAATATTTAGAAAAAGATAAAGAATAAAAAAATTAACCTGTGTTCATCAAATTGATTGAAAAGATTGAAAAAAAAACAAATTGATGAGAGAGATTAAGAAAATATGAAAAACTAAGAGAGAATAATATAATAAATTAATTGATATAAAAGATTAAAAAAGAAAAAAATTAAAAAATAGGTAGAAGAAAAATAAAAATTGGTAAAATATAAAAAAATGACCTTATATGTAATAGAAAAAGAAAAGAAAATACTTTTAAAATATTAATATTTTAAAATTTAAATATAAAGTCGAGACGGGGACGAGGCCGGGGTCGGGTGGGGATTGCATTACCCATCCCCGCCCCGACTTTTAAAGCGGAAAACCCGAACCCGCCCCACCCCGGTCAACTCGGGTTTTTCCCGTCAAACTCGGGGCGGGACGGGTCGGTCCCCACGGGACGGGTTTAATTGCCATCCCTAGTTGACATACCTATTTAAAGAGAACTGAAATTGAGATTTTTACTCAAAAATTTACAAGTAGAACTAATAAAATAATTTTACAAATGAAATTTCATCCATCAACAAATCTATATTTTATCAAAAACACGTTAAGACTTTTACAATTAAATAATAAAAAATATATATTTTAGTTTTTTAAAACACTTTTGTATATTGCAAATATACATTTCATACATAAAAAATCTGTTCAATATATACTTTATTGCGTTCTTAAATTCCTTCAATATTAAAATTACTCGCATGTATCTTTTAAATTTCAATTACAATTTTTTTTCCAAATATCACACTTATTTTTTATTTTATCATTACATAAATATGGTTTAAAATTTTAAAATTTAGTTGTTAAAAATAAATTGTAAAGCTTTAAATTATAGTTATTTAAAAAAGTTTAATTTTTAATTTAGTCATATTAATTGTGAGGTCTATACCATTGATAGTTAATTCCTTTATATATTATTAATTAAATCTACATGAATAACAATAACATGTAGTTAATATATTTTTATGAGTAAAACCAAATAACTATTATATAATCCTACTAGAAAATTAATGTTTTTAATTAAAATTAAATTATCTTTTGTCCTTTCAATTTTGAATTATTTTTCATTATTTTTAAGTATCTGTATAAAATGTATTTTGAATTGTATTATCTTATATAAAAAACACTAGTTAAAAACCTATAAAGCTTGGGAGAGAAGATAGTTAATATGAGGAAAAAGAAAATGAGTTGGCTAGTTAAGGGAAAAAAATGTCACGTTGATGAACGATGAATCATGATGACTTTAAGTGGTAGGTAATAACCAGCTACCTCAAGAAAATTGAATTTGTAAATATGACTTGCAACGCAAGTCACTCATCCCTTCCAACCTCCTTAATAAGCTTTAATAAGATATATTCAACAACAAAAAAATCAACGAGAAATTTAAGTATAAAAATTGAGATGTGAAAGTTGGTCCAGACCGTGCTTAATAACATCATGTCATACAAGTTTTTTGGTCACTAAATGTGAAAGTTTTTAGGAAATGATTTGTCACATAAGAGCATAACTAGGCCAATTTTCTCCTCTTTGCTACACTAAGAATAACTTCATCATCAGAATCAGTATCTTCGTCTTCCTCAGAGCTAAGAGCCTTAGATTTCCTCTTATTGGACTGTTTTGATGTGGAGTTCGTTGTCTTCTTTTTAAGAGGAGACACAGAAGAAGTTGGGCTTTTCTTCTTAACTGTCACAGATACAGATTTAGTGCCACTCTTCCCGCCAGCTACAGCCTTGACTGGTGAAGACAGTTTATGCGGAAACTTCTTTTGCTTCTTCTCAAATACTCTTCTTGCCACTTCTTTTGGAAGCAACCCCGATTCCATCAACCTGCAATTCATACGTGATACAGTCATGGTCATGAAATCATGATACCGAAACCATTTAGCTAACCAAAAATAAATGCTTAAAATAATTTGTTAACTTAAATGAAAAGAAATACGCAATTTAAGTCATTACATACGATAAAAGAAATTGACATTCAATCTAAAAAAAATAAAACAAAAAAAATTCAGAATCATGGAGAGTGGAGAACTACACATATTTTGTCAAAACTATTGACTATCAATCATCAACTTATGCCAGATCTATTCCTTTACTCACTCTAATATAAAATACACCATTTTCAGTCAGTTTCCCACAATTGTACAAGGGGAAGCAATTTACAACTGCTAGGTGCTAACCTGGTTTTGAGGTTAAGATTTAAAGGAGCAGTACAAGTTCATAAATTGTTATAACAGGTACCCTAGGGATAAGAGGGGACTCAGTTGAACCAACATGAAATACATCATTTCCATTCAGTTTACCCACAAATATAAGGTTAGGATTTAAAGGTGCAGTATCAGTCTATAAATTGTTATGACAGGGAATATATACCTAGACATAGAAGGGGCTCAATTGAGCCAACATATGCTCCTTTTTCCCGCCATTCTTATTTTTGTTCAAATTGAGACGCAGAGTTTATCCATCCCATTCATCCTTCTAGAGTGATTAAAAATTGGTCAATCACAACACGGGAGGAAGACAGGGGCATGTAGATCTGCCTTTAAAATGGGGGTTCTCGTTTGAGGAAATTTAAAGTAAGAGTATAATTGTTGTCAAGAAAATAATAGAGAGCATAACCCTCACTTTTGCCCAAATAATTTGATATATTACTAAGACAAAGTGTTATAAAAGCTGGGAAATTACTATGCTCACATTTTAGCATATTTGGTTTCATTCAATTGCGTATAATGTTACACAAAAAACATTAGGAGCATTACCAGTACAAGTCCACTTTATTGGCAAAGATATTTAGACTTACATTATATTGTAACACCAAATCCACAGTCCATAGGGCATTTAGCTAACTGAGATCCTAAACAATGCATTAAAGAATTCCTTATTTATACCTGTTGAAAAATTGCTTTATAATCCAAAAACATGTTGTGCCAAACGTTTTGTAGCTAAAAGCATGCTAACTGTTCTATCATCGCTGCACTCATTATTTGCTAAAAAACAAGCATAACTAGTCCCTTCACAGTGAGTGTTTCAACGCTCCTTTGGTGTTTTTGATGGAGAGCCAAATTAGCATGTCATCTAAATTATATTCCACGAATATTGTTACAAGGGTTAATTTTTCTTTAAGAACTAAAAAAGTGCAAAGTAGACAGAAAACAGTAACAAAACAATACTACATTCCTTAATAAATCACAACCTAATTCCGTCCTTCCTTCTCGGATGTAAGCTTTTAAATGAAAAAAAAAAAAAAAAAAAAAAACTCACCAGATTTGCGACATTTCGCTGTGGGGAACTTGGGCGTATAAACTCTCATAGAAAATCCGAAGAGGGTCTTTCTGAAAAATACGAAGTTACAGACCTATTACTCAAGTCAAACTTCAAATGACCCGAAACAAAAACAAGAGCAAAGAGAAGCACAGGCATACCTCCTCAGGTGGATCTCGTTTCTGGCCAGGTAAGTCATAAACCTTTCTCTCTCTCTTCTTCTTCTCCTCCTCCTTAATTATCTCCTTTACCTTTTTCTTTTTATTATTTACTTCCTACAATTTTAAAACCAAAAATAAAAACACAGTCCAATCCATATCATACCATAAAACTTTGAAAACAAGCAAAAAATATAAAATGAAAAACCCCAATTAAGAAAAAAAAAGTGAGACAAACCTTGGAGTTGGAGGTCCTTCTGGCGAGGGGAAGCTCGTCGTCGATTTCCTTCTTGACTTTAAGCTCCTTCTTGACGGGTACAGATTTAGGTTCCTTCTTAACGAATTCGGCCTCTTCTTTCTTAACTTTTGCGACCTTAGAGTTGGAGGTTGCAACTTTTTTGGAAACGGAACTCTTGTTGTTGGATTCTTCCTCTTTCTTCACCGGCCTCGAATCTTCCGAAGCCATTCCTCTGGAAAATTAATTGCAATCTGCAATGCGGGAGGGAAGGGAAGAGAGAGAAAACTAAAGAGTGAAGTGTGGAACTCAAGTGTTGAATTGCAGTGCTGCTCTTTCACCTTCGTTTCACGAAAAATCAACTTTGGGGTATTGATTTCCAAAACTCAGCGTCTTATATGGGTTCCGGACACTCAAATTGGGTCCGGCCCAAAATAAGGCCCGTTTATGTTTCCAAATTAAATAATAGTTATTTTCAAGATATACTACGATACATTTACAAAAGTATTTATATTTACTGTGTTACTTTACGGGTTAGTTCATTAATTCACATCTATACAAATTAGGAATGAATTTAAAAGATTTAATAAGAAATCCTTAACAAGGAGGTTGTGAAAAAGTATAAATAATGTCTATAATAGGAGATTATGTTAAAAAAATTTGATGGTGAAGTATTTTTTAAAGGAATAATATTTATGGATAAGAGAAATCTAATTATATAAAAAAAGATTATATTATTTTAAACTAAAAATATTACATTATAGATCTTGTTAACTTAAAAATTATTTGTTACGAGATTTTTAATGCTTATCATAATTATCCTGCGTTTTTTTTTATCTAAAATATTTGTCTAAAAGATTTTCAATATAAAAATCTACCATCAATATGAATTATTAACTCTGGCACCACTAATAAAATAAAGCACAAACAAAATATATGTTTTATCTCTAGATGATAACTTAATAAATAAACCATTACTGAGTAACCTTAAATTAACTAATATTTATTTTATGTTAAAAACCTGAGGGTGTGAATAGTGGGAGATAAGTAACACAGCATTTAATATATTTATCTCTACCTATTAATCACACCAAATAAAAACCTGGGACAGTTGCATAAGTGGCATGTCGATTCCGCACTCACTTCTTTAACCATTATCGTGATCGTTGTTGGACTTAAATATTAAATTTTTATCTCTATTTTAAGTTTCAGTATCTCGTCTCGTACTTAATTTATATTATTTTTAAAAAAATAATTATATTTATAATAATTTAATTTTATTATATTTTTATATATAAATAAATATTTATAATTTATAATTATTATTAATTAAATATATATTTTAATTTATGATATTTATATTAAAAATATATATAAAATATATTTAATTATTATTTATTTATATATATAGAAAATATTTATAACATTATTATTATTATATTCAAATATTTTAATACTTATAATATTATTATTATTATTATAATATTGTATTCAAATATTTAATTATATATATAAGTTAATTTATTTTTAAGTTGTCATTTAAAAATATAAAATATATAATTTATAAGAAAATATTTAATAAGTTAATTCTTATTTAATTAGTTCGAAGGAATAAAAATTTAAATTATCAATTTCTTTTAATTCTTTAAAATATAATTATTTTATTAAGATAAAATTTGATATATGATAAATAAAAATAATAAGATAAAAAAATATGATATAATAAAACCTAATAAATATAAATTATAAATAAAATAATATTAGTTACTATTCGGATTTATGTAAAATATTTAGAAAAAGATAAAGAAAAAAATTATTTTGTTTTCATCAAATTGATTAAAAAGATTAAAAAAATAAGTAAATTAATGGGAGAAATTAAGAAAATGTAAAAAACAGAAAGGTAAAAGAGAATAATGTAATAAATTAATTGATATAAAAGATTAAAAAAGATAAAAAAAATTAAAAGTGAGTAAAAGAAAAATAAAAATTAGTGAAATATTAAAAAAATAATCTTATATGTAATAGAAAAAGAAAAAAAATACATTTAAAATATTAATATTTAAAATTTTAAATTTAAATATAAAGTCGGACAAGAATGCAGTCAGAGTTGGGATGGAGATTGCATTATACATCTCCGTCCCTACCCTTGACTTTTTAAAGCGAGGAAACCTGAACCCGCACCTGTAAAATTCAGGGATGGGAGATATTAATCTCCACGAATTTAATTCTCATCCGTTGATTCCCTGCTCATGTTAAACTGTTTACATAAATAAAAAACTTTTCATTATCTGAGTTCAGTGTTAAAAAGGAAATCCAAGTTGAAATGATTTATGGTATTTTAAAAACTTAAATTAATTCTAAAAAGAAAAAAAAAAACTTGAAAATGAAGTTGCATCCTGAAGCATTTACAGGGCGAAACGTGAGAAATTGTCCTTGGAAGAATATATTCGTGTAAGAGGGCATTGAACAAAGGGCGGGTGTGTGGGTTCTCCTTTGGTATCAATCCCAATTCCCAACTGGAAACTCGATGGGCCAAAAAGCTCTAAGAAAAGGTGGTCCGATTGGAGATATAATCCACCTTAGAATAGAATTTATGCTAAAGCCAACACACAATTCCAATAAATTCCCTCGTTCTATAGTATTATATTACACTCCTGTTTAATCTTGTTATGGGTTATAAATAAGAGCCGCTAGAAGTTATTGTTAGACATAAAGCCTGAGAAGTTAAAATGGTGTGGCCATTGAAGGAGAGAAGGGGTCCAGCATGGAAGCAAGGGTGGACGACAAACACTTTGTGCTCTCTGTCTGCGCCACCTTTGCAACTCCTCGCCGTAGTCGGCATAGTCATGTTTTTGCTATTTGTTCCGTCTTACATTAACTTCAAGTCCACCCTGCACACAGCCACAATCAGCTTCCACGTGTTCCTCTTGCTGTTCCCCCTTTTGTTGATTTTCGTTGCCTACACCATCTCTAAATATGGACCACGCCTTCTGCTTCCGGCGCCGCCACCATTCTTCGGTGGCATACGAGTCAGATCAGACGGTGGAGGGTTTCCCTGGGGCGTGGCGGCGTTGGTGGTGTTGCTCTTGGTTTTGGCCTCTTACCTTTCCAATTTCAGGTCCATGTGGTCGCCACTCATTTGGACCCCCTACTAGATGCTACACAGTTACACCTATCATATGTAAGTCATAATAATACGTGAAATCGAATCTATTTCTGTGTATCACATCACATCTTAATCAGTTTGATGAATATATACACTACTTGGTCTCTGTTCTAATTAAGTTTTTTCACTCTTACTAACTCACCCTTTTGAATTCTATCCTTCATCATCTACCCAACAAGAAAGGGAAATCAGGAATTCTTCCTTAGTGAAAACCATCGTTTATATAACCCAATACTTCCTCTTCATACACATATACACACACACAGACACCCGTTATAGTCTTTTAAATTTTAATATAAAATTAATTTCTATCTTCAAATTATTTACTCGATATCTTAATATTATTACAATTTCCTATTATATAATTAAAAATTAAAAATTATTTACATACGCTACCACATACTTCAAATTGATAATTTTAATTTTTAAAACTATGTTTCTCGTATTTAAATTAACTTTTAAAAATTATTTATACGAAACAATGTATTTTGAAATATATATATTTTTTATATTTTTCTGAAAATAAATGATGATGAGTATTAAGAATAGAACATTATTGGATTAAAATAAAATTTGTAATACAAAAATATCACGTTACTCTAATTAAATAATATGTTATGGTAATGAACGAATGATTTTAATAGAAGTCAAATATTAATCTTTAATTTTCAGAAAATTTATATAAACATTTTCAAAAAATTTCAAATAATCAGACAAAATTTAATTATTTGTAAAATGAGAAGTCTCATAATTCATGATTTTAAGATTTCTCTATCATAATGTCTTTCAAGTGTACTTGGTACAATAGATTAAGTTTTTTTTTTTTATAACATTAATAATATATCTGATTTAATCAGTTAGAATTCTTTTTTCTATCTATCTAAGATTTAGATAATCTACACTCACAACTTAAATGGTTTAATTTTATTAGGTTAAATTTCCTTATTTATCCTAAATTTTTCGTTATTTACCATTGAGTATTTAAAAAAAAAAATTCTATCCAGAGTAAACTAGCATATATTATTTTGACGGTGGTCAATCATTCAAATAAATGTTGTGTAGTGAATGGAATTTGATTTTTATTTTTGAAAAAGTGCGCCCAAAACTGGTAAAATATTTGTCCTCAGAACTCAGCATTTGCATTAATGGGCCATTACCATATGCGTGAGTGGGCCGTGTCTTGTACGCACCCACCCACCTTCCTAAATGCAAGGTGTACGAAGGAGATGAAGTGGTTGAGCAACCCACCCGTCGCATATAACTAAAATACAAACACTTTTAAACCAATGTCACACGTGTCACTCTAACTCATCCTCAAGTGGGAACACAGAACATTAGATGGATTACATTTTTAGCTTCTTTTGGAGCAATGTAAGAAAACACATGACCGGACAAAGTGACAGAAAAAAAACTGTTCGGAAAAGGAAAAATAAAAATAATGAAGGGAAGCAAGAGGTGGATCCACGCCGTGATGACATGGGTTCGGCGGCAACCGCCCAAGATGAAGGTCTTTCTCGCGGTGCTACTCGGCCTGGCCGCCTTGCTCTTCCTCAGAATCGTCGTTCACGATCACGACAGCCTTTTCGTCGTCGCCGAGTTTGTCCATGCATTAGGAATCTCCGTCCTCATTTACAAACTCACCAAGGAAAAAACCTGTGCCGGTACCAATCCCTTCATTTTCATTACAATCTTACTTTAAACGCCTTCCCCCCCAAAAAAAAAATAAAAATTTACCGTTGACATTTCAGGTTAGGGTTGTCTTAAATTGGACCTTTGGTTTTATGTGATTTTTGCGGTGTTTTCCGACCCTGATATGGTCTTAGCAGAAATTAATGTTACATATTTTTGATGTGTTTGCATGTAACGGATGATTTCATGTCTTCACAGGGCTTTCGCTGAAATCGCAGGAGCTGACGGCAATTTTCCTAGGCGTGAGACTTTACTGTAGTTTTGTGATGGAATATGATATACACACCTTACTGGATTTGGCAACATTTGGAACGACCCTCTGGGTTATTTATACGATACGCTTCAAACTCAAATCTAGTTATATGGATGATAAGGACAACCTTGCAATATACTATGTTGTAAGTCTTCTATGTTTTCTGTATAGACTATAGAGTATAGACTATGTTTCTTTTTGTGAGTGAACGATATATTGTGTACTTCTTTTTGTTTTCATTTGGCAATGTTGCTTTCTTACGGCCTTGCTGTTAAGCGGCTCACAAAATCTCGTATGTAATTTTTTTCGACCAACTAATGCCAGATGAACTCACATAAGAAACCTTTTTTTTAGGCGTTAAATACGAAAACTGCAGTGGTTTCTTCTTCAAACATTTAGAGTAGTTTTCTGTTGAAAACAGTTCAGGAGCTTCTCCAAATTATAAAATTATTATATTATGTTATCTGTATGTTTTTTAATGGTATATCAATTTCCTTTTTCCTGCATGGTACTACAGCTCTTGAAGTTTGGTTTGCAATAGTTATTGTTGATTTCTTGTGTATTTCCTCCACCTTAAAAGGAATATGGTTTTGAAGAAACGGAAAGGGTAGGGTATAGTTTGAATGTGTTCTGGCTTGCTTGTTTGGCTGGATTACCTGCTTAAAAACAGAGGTGCCGACTTTGAGGAAGGTGGTATATAAGATGTGCTTAATTCAATTTTTTTTTTTTTTAAATCTTTATTGATGAATTACATTATGAAATTTAAAATGGATTCAAGGCAGCGATTTCACATTTTCATTTGTTACTATTTTTGTTAGTTTTCTCTTTACCTATGAATTTCTTGAATGGAATTGTCTTCGTTTTAAACACATGTTACCATCCCAATCAAAGTGTTTTGTCATAGCAACTAGGATGTTCTATCTTTTCATATCTAAGATAATTTATATGACTGAATGAATGGATGATTCAATTGCTCTGCCTTTGAGTGTGGAGTGTTCTAATTTTCTTTTACAAAATGTAGGTGATACCTTGTGCTGTGCTGTCCCTGTTTGTTCATCCGACAACCCGGCATCATATGGTTAATAGGATCCTCTGGGCATTTTGTGTTTATCTTGAAGCTATTTCTGTTCTCCCTCAGTTGCGGGTTATGCAGAACGCTAAGGTCTCAAATATATACAATTTTGCCTATTACCTTTTTATTATTTATCTGTTAATTGTTTGAAATGTTGATGATGTAGTTATTTCCTTTGCCAATTAGTCTTCCTAAATACAGTTATCACTCAGCTTTGCATGTTAGTCTTTGGATTTAATTCCTAAATTCAACTTTCAGATCGTTGAACCATTCACCGCACACTATGTTTTTGCGCTTGGAGTTGCAAGGTTCTTGAGTTGTGCACATTGGATTCTCCAGGTTTGTCAAAATTTGAACTCCTCCAAGTTTTTTTTCGCCTAATTCTGGAAATACATATACGAATTTAACATAATATCCGGGAGATATGAGGTATGGAGAATTTTCATATTAGAACTTTGAATTGTGCATACTTTATTAGAAGTATTTCCTTGAGTGTTTCTGGACGACAATAAGGTTCTGTTAGGACATTTGTTGCATATGAGTTATGGCATCGAGACCTTTGGTTTGCCAGTTATATATTTTGACCCCTTAACCTTTAATATCCAACGATAGATAGGCCAACCATATATAGTTTGGCCTGGTTTTGGTTGCCTTTTACCTCGTGTGAGTTTTTCAGAACCAGTAAAACTCTATAGGACAAGAATCTTGAGCTCTATTATGTTCATAGGAAGTTGACTGTAATGTAACCAAGTTAGATTAATGAGCTTTTTAAAAAGTTGAAGTGCATAAATTAACGTTAACTTATGCAAGAAGTTTGATTCAAGAAAATGATTGTCCTCAGGTGTTAGATACTCGTGGGCGTCTACTAACTGCATTGGGTTACGGATTGTGGCCTCCGTTGGTTCTTCTATCAGAAATCGTCCAAACTTTCATCCTGGCAGATTTTTGCTACTACTACGTCAAGAGGTGGATAATAAAATTCAAAGAATATGCAACATATACCTTAATATGCTCTTTGTCAACTTTCTAACGTTTTTTTTCTTCCTTGACTACAGTCTTGTTGGGGGACAACTTGTTATTCGACTTCCTTCAGGAGTGGTGTAACTTTGACATTCGTTTTCAGATCCCCCTCAAGTAGAACGATCCTTTAAGCTTGCACCACTCTGAAAGTCAGAATAGCTATGGCAGCTAGCTAGAGGAGTTTGATATGTTATGTACCCACGTCACTGAGTGAACAGAGTTGAGAATGTACTATATATGTAACTTACTGAAATTTTAATTTAACTTTTTATCAGTTCTCCAGGTTAGTATTAATTAGTAGTTAACAGATGTCAAATATATTGAATGTTGGTTTGGATAGGAGCAAGTAGATGGATTTGGTGGTTGCACAGGACCTGCAGAGATGGTCTCTTAAACAAGCAAGAACTATACTTGTCCAAACCCTCTTAGGTATCATTCTTTCCCCAAGAGATCACTTGGTATCTTATTTTAAGGCATTGTGCTCTTTACTAGAGTTAGGATCGCAATTAAATCCGTCTTGTTTCTGTTGGAGTTGTTTCTGTTGGAGTTTGACAGAAAAATCGAGTTGATATTAGGGACGAGGATGAGACAAGGATGGATAATGTAAACTTTTCAACCTGTCTTGTTTTATATTTAAATTTAAATTTTAAATTTTTTAATATATATATTTTTTTTCATATTACATATAAGATTATTTTTTTATATTTAATATTTTTGAATTTTTTCTATCCATTTTTTACTTTTTAATTTTTTAGATTAATTAGTTTATTATATTATTTTCATTTTTATCTTTATCTTTTTCACATTTTTTAATTAATTTAGTTTTAACAATCTTTTCAATAAATTTAATAAAAATAAATTATTTTTAATTTATCTTTATTAGATTTTATTATGTTATATTTTTAAAATTTTATTATTTTTATTTGTTATACATTAATTTTTATTAATAAAATAATTATATATTGAAAGATTATAAATAATTGATAATTAAAATTTTTATTGTTTTAAAGTAATTAAATAATAATTAATTTATTAAATATTTTTTCATAAATTATATGTTTAATATTTATAAATATTTTAAAAGGATAATTTAGAAAATAATTTAATTATATATATAATTAAATGATTAAATATAATATTATAATATATAATAATAATATTATAAGTATTTTGTATTTTGTAAAGAAAAATAATAATTAATCATTTATTTTACATATATATATATATTAATATAATTATAATAAATTAAAAATATTTATTTTTATAAAAATATATTAATAATGGGAAATGAGGACGGATTGGAGGTGTAGAGTAAAAAAACCCTAAACATAAAGATCGGAGGTGAGGGCATAAATGGTTAAAAAAATTGACGACGGGTCGGGGTTGACAAAAACTGCGTTGCTGCCATGCTTAAATGAAGTGTTTTTCCTGGTTTGTAATCTATCCGTGGATAAATAAGTTCGGTTTACGTTTCATTTTTAACGAGTTACTAAATAAGTGTTTGACTTCCATAAAATTTCATAGCTTTTTCTTTTTTAAAACTTTACCCAATGAATAAAAAGTGTGCTTACATTTTTTTCAAATTTTAATAAAAATAAATGAAAATTGCCTTTCTAAACTTTTTTTTATGATTGATAATATTTTTAAAATTTTTAATTTATGTTTCAAAATATAATACTTTTTATTTCTTAAATTTATGTTAAATTACTTTTTCCTTTCTCCTTGCCTGGTTTCTCTATTTTTTTTATTTAAATGTTTGGTTGAAATATTTTTTAATTCCTAGTTTGTGTGCTATTTGTTGGTTACTCTAGTAAACTATTTTGGTTAGTTTAGTGTTTGTAAAGAAAATATTATAGTGTTTCTTTTGTTATTATTGTTGAATTAATTTTGTTAGAAAATAACGTGATTCAATAGTGTTATATTGAGGCTACAATAATAAATAAATTGTGGAGATTGAAAAAGCAAAAATATTCGAGCGAAATAAAAATAAGAACAAAAGCAAATTAAAATGTCTCGTTGACCAATGCTGACACTCCATTTCTCTTTCAACCATCCACACCACAGAGTCCATTACATTGACCAAATCTACTTAAAACTTAAATTCATTTAAGACAAAATGTAAGCTATAACAGTTAACTCTTTCTTATTTTAACTTAGCTTGAATATATTTTTAGTATATACTTTGGCTTGTTTTTCAATCTTTATAAAATTAATTTAACTATTAGTCCCTAAAATTTTTCTTTTTTAGTTTCCGTAAAATTATTTTGGCTATTTTAGTTCCTATAAATATTTGACAATGTGACATGAAATATATATTTATGTGTGGAATATATATGACAGGATGGCATTTTGAATGTCTGGTCCCATCCCATTTTCAATTTCTTCTTTAATAGGTTAAATTAGGTAAACAATTTTATTATTTGAAGCATTTAGTATCTGTTTGGGTTGACGTTAAGAATCTTAGATTCACGATTATTTAGACATAGAAAATTAAAGTTATTCAATTAGATGTGAAAAATTTATCCATATTTAACTTGATCTAACGTTTAACCGAACATACACTTAATCTATGTGGCTATTTTTGGTGAATGAAGAAATAAAACCTATGTTATCACCTATATATAGTTCTATCGCGTAAAGTTTATATATACATATATAAAAAGAAACACACACAGATAAAAAATAAAATAGAGGAGTTTACGACTTATAGGGTAACATAAAGCTCATAAACGATATTAAGAAAAAATGGTAATGAGAAAACTTTGTTAACAATTGAATTAATAATGATAATGATTACCTTGGTAATACTAATAATAAAAGTGATATCAATAGTAAAAATGGGATGAAATATTTTTATTTTTCATTATAACTTTGATGTATTAAATTTAAATGAACTTTAAAGGTGTTGGGATTTTTTTTTTTTCCTTATCAATATACCATCTAAACAATGCAGAGGAGTTCATCCTACTCCTTGCAACAAGTAGAATGTTTTCAAATATTCTAAATTTATTTATTTATTTAATAGCTTATATGTTTTATTTATTTTTTTGTCTGTGATCCTTATGTGGGATATTGAAGAAAATAGAGAAAGGATAATGTGATATGCGAAAGCATATACAGCTGGAAGGATTGGGTTGTGTTATTTACCTCTTTTCCTATATTTCAGCTAACTTTACTTGCTACTTTCTCTTCCCTTCTCACGATATGATTAGTTTCATATCCAAATTCACACATCACCATCTCCCAAAGCCATAGTTGGCGGCGAGCCACTTAACAAATTCTTGGCTGTTATAATAATAATCCAGCACCTGTACTTTTCCTTCATAAAACCAAAACCCTTTCATTCAATTCCATGCCATACCATACCATACATTTTCCACTGTTCCCCCTCATCAATAATGCAATCCAGTGCCCTCATACCTGTAATCAAGTTGATTTCGAACTGCCACATCCACTCCTTCAAATGGCATATACCATTCTCTCACGCTTCAACTGCACTCAAAGACCCTGGCTAAATGAAACTTCACACTGTTCTCTTCTACTATTTGCGTTGCATGACCAAGTTTATGACTCATCATGCTTTGACGAACCAAAGGCACTCTGTCGCCCCCTTTTTTTTTAATGGTTCCCAAACCTCTTTTCACTACCAAATGTCCTCATCAGTCACTTGTAAACACTTTCAATTTCAGGTCTCTTCATGTCCCATCACACCAAATAGAATCCCACTTCCATTATTTATTTTATATTACCTATTTCATATATAATCAATTATTTTATCCGTGTTTCAAGTGGAAATTAAATTTGAATTTGCAGGTTTGTAAAATATATACGTGAAAATACATATTTCTTTCATAATTATTTTTAATCAACAAACTTATTTTGGATGGAATTATTATTCCAATATTCATGCTTTATTTTTCATAGTTATTTAGTAATTTAATAATTAAAATTATAATGTATAAAAACTTGAGAAATATTCTAGATAAGTATAATTTTCGACAATACTTATTTAAGTATTTTAATTTTTGTTCTAACCACCTTTTACAAACTAACTCCAAATCCGTCTCGTCTTTTGCAGAGATGGAATTGGAAAGAACCAACCATATTCTCCATTTTATTACTATGTCTACACAGAAATTAATTTGTATTTTAATTAAATGTAGTTATTTTAATTATATTCAATTCAGAAAAACGCTTTTAATCGAAATTTTCAAAAACAAATACAGTAGAACATTGAAAAATAATTTTATTTAATTAATTATACACCAACTTGAAAGCTTTGGCAGGCTAGCTAGGGTTCATTGTTGTAGTATTATCATTTAACTATAAATAGAGGGTCCTAGTTTCTCATTCCATGCACTTTTCATTTTCAAGTACAACACCTCTTCCAATCAAAACCATGCCTCTCTCAAAGCTCCTGGTTTCGTCGCTTCTGCTATCCTTTCTCCTCTTCCGTCTCGTTGAATCTGATCAACCGGTAATTAAATTGAAGATGCTGCTATTCTGCATTTATATATTATTGATTCGTTCTGTTCAGTGTTTTAATAATTAACTAATTTATATACGTGTTATTGAGAAAGCGCAGGTAAACGCACAGACTCCGGGTTCTCTTGTTCAGCAGATAGGTATTGCATGATGATCACCATGTTTTTTAATTAAAAGAATATAAGAAAGAGTGGAAATGAAAATTTCTTGATTTCGAATCTAACTTGGAATGAATTGATCCGACAGATTGTAATGCCGCATGTGCTGCGAGGTGCCGTTTAGCATCTCGCCAGCGCATGTGTCACAGAGCGTGTGGAACCTGCTGCAGACGCTGCAACTGCGTGCCACCGGGAACTGCCGGCAACCAAGAAGTGTGTCCCTGCTATGCCAGTCTCACCACCCACGGTGGCAGACGCAAGTGCCCTTAGATATTTTCATATCAAGATGCAAATGCAATGCAAGTTACTATTTATGTATAACATACTCTATATATGTGTCCTTGTTTTGGTGTCTTGCGTCCAATAAAATGTCAATGTTGTGTGAAGAATTCTAGCGTCGGTGATGCGTACTCTGAATCCTTGGGTTTTGCCAGAGTTTGTGAGTATTGTCTTCTTTATCTGCTGTTGTATTGTGTGTCAAACTTATATATGAACAAGCTTTTATTATCTTGCTATTTTGGGTAAAAGATATTGGAGTCCATTAGAGCCTTACACAGTGTTCAATATCAATTCCACAAACCAAATCTGATATTATCGTCGCACCATTTTCATAAATTTATATTATTTTACCTTTAAATATAATAAATTTGGTTATACAGGCTATCCTTTTTTTCTATAATGTTTGTCAAATTCATCTAATAGCTAAACAAAATAAAAATATAAAATTGAATAAAAAAAATTAAAAAAAATAATAGTTACATCACCGGGTTTAAACTAATAATTTAATCAAAGTTATAACACTGGGTTCAAAATAATAATTTATCAATCATAGGTTTCTCAGTAGATCATACTTTTTTTATAAAAATATAACCTTCACAAAATATTTTTTTAAAAAAGTGATTATCTCATTTTTTAAATAATAAATATATTTTTGAATTGAATTATGAATCTAAAATCTTTCTTTCAAGTATTTTTTACAACCTTAATGATATTAACTAATATTTTTTATTTTTAGTATTAAACTGATTATAAGAACTAGAAATGAATGGTTACAGATTTATAAACAATAAATAATTTGTATAGATTAAAAATAAACGAAACCATGTTTACGATTATTAAAAAAAAAAAATACTTATTCTAAGTCAACTTTTCCTCTGTACTTAAGTTCTAAACGCGATAAAAATAAAGACAAAACTTATGCATGCGCCAAACAAAATTGAATACTAATATTTGTGAAATAACAAATTCTATATTTTGTTACTACATTTTCTCCTTCTCCTATTTTATTTTTTTATTACTATGTGTACCTTTTTGGTTTTCGAAAAAATAGTTTCAATAATTAAATTAAAAGTAGTTGTAATAATATACTTTAATTTGGGCGTAAACCAAATGAATCCTGAGTGGGCTGAATAACACGACACTCTACTCAAGGATAAAAATCTGTACTCAAGTCCAAAGAATTAGTCACTCAATGTATAAGTTGGATCCGAATTGTCTTTGGGCTTCTGCTAAAAACACTTAAATAGTAAAAAACACAAACATTATCATATATACACTTTTTTTTATGTACAAAACTTTATGAAACATTTAATAAGAGGAAGAAGACTCCATGACAATGAGTAGAATGCAAAGGTCAATACAATTAATCACTCATTTATGGAAATATAAAGCAGAATATGTAAAGTTAATATTTATCTAGATAAAACTTTTTTATGGTGGATTGAGAAAAACAATTTTGACTTTACTTTCCATTTATATATATATATATATATATATATATATATATATATATATATATATATATATAAACGTTTATGGAAGAAAAACTCTTACAAGGAGAAAACTATGGGGAGTATTTAATAAAATATGGACTAATAGAATTTCTTTTCTGTTCATTTAATAAATTGATATTTAGATAATGTAACTGTTAAAAAAAATAAAAAGATCAACATGGTGATGTTTTGTATTCTTTTAAAATTGGGGTAAGTATTTTGCTTAGTTTCTTTCTAGTTTTTATATCTTTAAATTATTTAATCTAATATTTTAAAATTTTTAATTATTTGATATCTAAATTTAATATTTAATGATATTTGATCACATTTTTTTTGTTTTATATTTCTTAATAATTTTATATTATTTTTAATTTATATTTATATTTATATATATCTTAAAATTTAAAGCTATTTAATCAGTTTTTAAATATAATAACAAAATTAAGTTTGTAAAAAAAATACTATAACTAGAAATATATCTCATTTTTTTAAAATTTAACCCATAACTAAGGTAATAATTTTTATTTAATAGTTTATTCTTATTTATGATTAACTGAGCTTAAATTTCCATAATTTATAATATATTAACAATAATTAATATAAATAAAAAACTTAATAAACTTTTAATTAACATAATCAATTGTAATAAAATTTTGCAAGATAAAGATAATCACTATAAATAACAATCATTGTAAAATCTCATAGAATCTGTATTTATTAAAAATATATCTGTAAAAGGAATAACTAAACTAAATAAATAATTTAGATTGATTTTTGTTAATTTGATCTGTTATGTGACTGACTTTAAAAAAAAAAAAATTAAATAGATTTTTTTTTCTTGTGTGATTTAAGGGGTTACTAATTGTTTTAATTTGTCCTTACTTTTTATTCCATGTATTTTTTGGTATCCAACTTATTCACAATCTAAGTAATCAAACTACCATATTAGAACTTATTCCATTTTTTTTTTATCAGAACTTATTCCTAATCTAAATAATCAAATTAACATATTAGATTTTTTTTTAAGTATAGTTACACATTATAATTCATAATAAAACTAATAGGTATTAAATCACTTTTTTATATATAAAAATATTGATGCAAGTACTTTTTAAATTTTATAAAAATGTAATAGAAAAAAGTAAAAAAAAATAAGTTTTTCCTCTCTCTGTTATGGAAACATTATTCATGTTCAACAGGAACCAAATAAAGTGACAGTTGTGTTAGCCATTTAAATATTAATATAAATAGAGATAATTAAAAAAAGCACTAAATTAATCATAAATAAAGTTAAATTTAACTCTACAAGTTTTGACTTAGAAAATAGATTAATCCGATCACAATTAAAGATAATAACATTCCTGTTCAATTTGATTTGATTTTTTAAATATTAACTTAAATTGGTATAAAAATAAAGAATATTTTTTATTTGATTTTAATTGAAGGTAAAGTTTAAATCTTATAAATATTTACAATTCTGAAATAGATTGATTTTATAGTTTTTATTTTTATAAAACTGTTAGATATTTATAAAAAAATTATTTAACTGAAAAAAGAAATTAAGAAATATTTGATAGTAAAAAAATTCTGAAATACATATTATAAAAATTATATTGTATTTATAATTTTAATTTCTCTTAACGTTATAAATAAATTAAACTATTTGTAATTAAAATTTATTATTATATATTTAATAAGTATAATATATTATATTTAAATATAATAAATATTTTTTATTAATTTGAATGTAAAATTAGAAGAAAATATACCACAAAACTATATATAATATATACTCTATAAGTAATTTTTATTCTCAGCACCTTGATTCATGAGGGTGCATAATATATATAATTAATTTTGTCACCTTTAATAATAAATTATTATTTCATAATAAACTAAAAACTTATAATATAATAAATACAATATTAAAAAAAATTGTAAAATTTAATTTTATAATCTTTGATTTTTTTTTTAAATTGTTACCACTCACTTTTATTTGAATATTACAGACATGATGTTCGTAAAAAAATTTAAAACATAGTGTAAAATAAATAAATATATTATAATTATAATATATATAAAAAAATTTATCTATTAAATATTTTATTATTAACAATAAATACTTATTTTAAAAAATTAAAATAATTATAAAACTTCCACTAAATCTATTTTTAAAATTTAAAATGATGTAAATCAAGGTGTATAAGCAAAATAAGTACATTTAATTGAATCTCTAAAGACATAATAAGGGAAAGAGAAAGTAAGCATTATTTTTTTCTTTCCTCTTATATATGTGATAATATTTAAAAAATATTTTAAGATAGTATGTTTCTTTAATCTTTCAACATGTTTTATACATACAATAAATGTTGCAATAAAAGACGAAGTAATCGAAAAAAATGGTGGATATAATATAAGTCACTCACGCACGAAACATGATCCCTGCCGCTCAAATCATCATAAATGGCGTTTCAACTTGGAATTTCATTTCAAATGCCAGAAACTCAGACACCACTGTTTCTTTTTTCCGCTCAAATTTCAAACTTCCACACCCCTTTCTGCACACGTGTTTCTCACGCACACTCCATAAGTGCTTGCGGCATGACAAAAATAAACGGTAAATAGATAAATTAACATAATAATGTGAGAGTAACTAAAAGAAGAAAGTGCGAAAAACAGATTGAAATGTGAATGTGAGAAGCTGAGAAACATGCAACAAGAACAAGCTTCCCATGCGGCACTGCACGGATAGATGCCATCTGACATGCATGCTTATCTCCTGGGCAAAATTTCATCCTTAAAACAAAATTAAATAAATCATATATTAATTTTAATATTTGAAAAACTGTACGTCATGTTTGGTTTCAAGTTGCATTCAATTTATTTATTTTGCCATTAAACTGATTGACTTTGTGACTTCTTGTTCCGTCCCATCATCACCGGGGAACTGTGTCCTCTGTTCGTTTACTCTTCTCTCTTTCTGTTCTTCTGTGATCATTTAATCTGGGATTCGGGTTTAATTCCTTACAGTGTTTAAAATTAATACAAAATAGAAAAAACTATTTCAATCACAACAAGTATCTAATTAAATACTAATTATTTTCCTCCCTAATTTTTCAACACAAATACAATTCTCACGGACATAGCATTTGAGAGGCATCCTTTTTCTTTTTCTTTCCTTACCTTTTTTTTTCTCGTGAGTACCACACGCCTATTTATTCACCCTTCATTCTCTCTCTTCTTTTTCTTGCCTCAACTCAATCTGTTACTTTATTTCACAAAGAACCTGATTCTCTGAACACAAGGCACGAATTACTTTTCTCCCTCTCTTCCTCGCTTTTTTTTTTATTTTTTCACAGATGGCTCAGAGCCACAGTCTCATTCTCATTGCTGCCTAGCTTTTTCCGACTCGTCAGTGCTTGCTTCTTAAATGAAAGGCGGTAGTGAATTGACCAAGTGAATGAGTGAGGGAGAGGAAAGGATATGGACAAAGGTGGAGACGCGACCGCGACGACGATGCGTGGGTTTTCGAACGCCAAACGACACATTAGCAAACAACAATCTCAATTTCAATCTGCTTCTTCTGGGGGACGCAGCCTCATCCCTCCCAGTGGAGGTAATTCTTTCACCACTCATTTTTCTTTTTATTTCTTCCTGTCGCTTTCCCTACTCCTCTCTCTTTCTACTTCTTCTCATTATCATTCCAAATAAAACAAATCAATCGATGAATAAATATTCCCTCTTTTTTTTTTTTTTTTTTTTTTCTATTCCTGATAGGTTTGAATGCGAGTAGTGACTGTTCCGAGAAATCAAAGAAGGAGAAGGTGAGAAGCTTGAGTGCTGTTGCCAAAGCATTATCAATGGGTTGCCGTGTCTCTCACTCTCCAAAACCAACAAAGAAATTTAAACTTCCCAGAAAGGTACTGCATATAGCATCTAGTACTAGTACTGCTTAGTTATGTGATTTTTTTTTTTTTATTCCTTGTTTTTTTTTTTTTCAATATTTAATGGTTTGGCAGTTTCCGAAGGACTGCAATGGCGTCGATCATGCCTCTGTTCCGCGGAAGATACGTTCAGGTGTGCTATTCTCGGATTCACAGTGGACCATGTCACATTTATCTTCTCATTAGTATTCATGTTATTTCCACACATACCTTTCCGTTCAAATTCTGTCATGCATCTCTCGGATAAGGGTTGAAGCAACAATAACGGGACTCATGTTTCCCTCTGCTCTCTAATTATAAAATAAAGGGTGTATGTACAGTGTAATAATTTAACAGTGCGTGGTACTTTCTGACTTCTGAAAAGCATAATCATATTTTTTTAGTAAATTATTATTGGGAGATGTTTCTGTAGTGGATTTGATTTGTTGTTCTTTTTCCATTTTCCTATAATATCAAATTTTCTTTATTATAATATTTCTATTTGTTTATTTATTCTAAAAGGTTGGGATTTTGTTTCTGTTTAAATTACAGCTGTGACAAAACGGGGTCGCGAATCTATCTTTGGGGATTCAGAAAAGGTGAACCATGAGATGAACGGAATGGAATCTCCTCAAAAAGATGGCATAAAGAAATCCAAAGTGAGTGTTGCAGCACGTCTTTGTGGTTCAAAACTTAACCTTTTGTTTCATTTTCTAGCCATTTCAATTTCACCTTTACTTGAGCTTTTGCTTTTCGTAGAAACAAAGAAGCCCGGTCTGGTCCACGAGGCAAGTTTTGCCCGGGCCCATAACGAAAGATGAGGAAGAGGTTGCGGAGACTCTCTATGCCTTGGCTGGAATGTTCCCTGATAACGGCTCCAGTGTTAAGAGTGAACCAGACAGTGAATCTTTACCAGAAAACTCCACGGTTTTGCAGGACCAAGAGGAGAGTCAGAGTGCTACTGCTACTCTTGAAGGTTGATCCATTCCTCACGGCACTTTTATAATATATTAAATTAATTAATTAATTCTAAGTTTTTAATTTTATCTTTCAATTTTTTGGGTCATGTGATATAGCTTCGGGAGCTACTCAGGAGGATGGAAAAATACCACCTAAGGGGTGTAAAAAACTCAGTTCTTTGAGTGAAACCATTGGTCCAGAGCAGACTGATTTTCCTGATAGTGCTAAGTTGTTTGTGGCTGCTACTCACAGCACTGTTCAAAAAGTAAATCTGCAGGCCGTGCCTTTGATGGTTAAGAGTGAAACTGGCGGCAAAGTTGCATTGCAGGACTCTGAATTGTCTCTGGACATGGGGTGGGTAGTTTTTCAGCTGCATTCTGAAATCTATCCGGTCTATCTTTTCAAATCTTTAATCTTGGAACTACATTTTTGTCTCATCATATTACAGATTAAACGTACCCACACAACCACAGATTTCACATATTGGAAGGAAATCAAACGTAGAATATCAGACGGTAGTAACTTCAACTTCTACAATTTGTGCTAAAATTCTTGTATTACAAGCTAGTGCTAGTACTATTGGTTTTGTCATCTTACATTTCAGGCTGGAAGCATTGACTGCATGCAAGAACAACATATAATCAAGTACCAAAAAGAAACTGGTATGCTCGTGGATTTAATGTGCCTGTTAAAGTGGTGATTGTCCCGCGGTGATTATAAGCATGAGCTAAAAATTTCATCAGTTGGCTGACCATTTTTTCTTGTTTTATCAGAAGGCCGAGCATGGTGGCCAGGCTTGTCTCCCACTGCATCAGCGGGAATTGGTGCTTCTTATTTGCAGTAAATTTCTTTAATTTAACTTCATTTTGTCCTTTTTATGGAGCCAAATCCATTCCCTATTCTCCCCTCATCATCATGTCCTGATTTGATGGGTTTTTCTTCCAAAGGTCTTCTTCAGCTGCTAAAACTCTAGATTGGCTGAATACTGCTACTGGCTCCTCGAAACAGGATTTGATGGAAAGTTGTTCTTCTGGTGGAAAGGTAATGAATTACAAAGTTATGCTTATAGTGCTTTTTTGAATGGTTTACCTAAATAATGGCAAAAGTTTTTCATCCTGGTCCATGCACTTCGTTCTAACGCCTATTTGTTGTGTCTAATAATTATTATCAATACAGATTTCCGAAATTGTTATTCATAATAAAAAACCTTGGAAGAGCTGTTCAGCTCATGTTCACATCAGTCATCTCATCCGTAGTTTAGAAGAGTCAAAACGACAGGTGGGCAAAGGACATGAGCTTTATGAAAGTCATCAAGCGCGAGGACACGAAGGGTCAAAATGTGGGCTTCTAATGGAAGCACTCAACTTGAATTGGATGAGAAGTGGAAATAGTAATGCCTCTGGAACTGTTCATTCCGCTACTAAGAGTAATTCACGTGAAACTAAGAATGGTATTCTTCAACATAGCCTTTATCACGACATTTCTCAGATTTCATCAACACCTGGCGTGCATGGTCCTCAAAAACAAGTAAGCTATGGATAATTCTGATAATAGTACCTTCGTGTGTCCCCTCTTCCTCGTGCCTGATTTGATGACTATTCATTTTTTGCAGAGTTTCAACTTCTTGTCCTTGTCAACTGGTGGTAGTGAGGTAAAGGTCAACGAAAGTTTTAATAAAGACGAAAGTAAGTTGGAACCATATTCAAAATCGCAAGTGCCTTATTTTCAATCACTACAACAGCGGCATGGCCTCATGCCCATTCAAAGTCCGTATGCCTCAACTTTCCTTGATCAGCTTCCTGTTGTAGGACCACAGGTTTTTACTTACTAGACACCTATCAATCTTATATATTATTGAACTACAAAATCTAGGGTCAAGTTTAAGAAAGATGGCTTAAAGTGATTATATTGATCAACATGATATTAATGAAGCGGTTAAAATTTATTGTCTTAACTATGAATAACCTGCCCCACCAGGCCGCCCTCAAAGAAGAAAATAAAAGAGTTGAGAGAGAAGTCATGCAGTTTATATCCTTAACATACCAACACCCTTTCCCTTTGTCTTATTATCATATTAAGCTCAGTTCCGTAATGCTTTTATTGACTGCAGGTTCGGTTGCAGCAGCAGCAGCCTCATTATTATGGTACCCCGTTACGTGGAACTCATTATAGTTCGACACTTTCCTATAAACAACAGCACCAAAGTTTTTGGGCGGTGCAGCTTGCAGCTCAAGGTGGGTCTGCTGTAAATTGCAGCATTGTGAGGGGCCAATATCCTAATTGGCAAAGTGGTAGAAATGACTCTTCTTTACCGAGTCCTTGTCCCCAACTAATCCTTCCCCATTCCCCTGCATCCTTAGAAGCACTTGGATCCAAGATCCCTTCAATCTCTGAGCAACAACACCTCTTTACCTTCGCTTCATCAAGATCCAGTGCAAATGTGCAAGACTTTCATCTTACTTCTTCTGTATGTGAAGAAAGTAAAGGTAGATTACGTAGCAGTAATGGTACCCCATCGCTACAATTGTTATGTGATGAAGGTATCTGAAATTGAACAGAAAAAACAGAAAGGCATAAAAATATACTACCACTGCATTCTTGTCTTTGTGCATGCGCTGGTCTATGTGCTACTGCTACACTTGTCACGTTAATCAACGTGGCAGAGAACTTGCCATATTTATAAGCCATCGTTGATTAACACTTGGGAAATTCAAGGGAAATACTACGTAAATATTCAGCTAAATCTGACACCGATTGGCTTTCTTTTTAGAATTTTGAAATTCTAAAATAGTGAATTTAAATAACTTCACAAAAAATCACAAATATATTTTAATTGTCATTTTTTTATATATTTTTCTTAATATATTTTTTAATTTAAGTAGATTTCACACTATTATTAATAATATAATATCGTTGTCATAACTTTCTAAGTTTACGTAATTTCACACCATTATTAATGATATTATATCATTGTTATAACTGTTAACATTGCTAATGACATAATCACTATCATATGTACATAAATTTAATAAATTTTGACATGATAAAATCTTTTAAATAATTTACTTTAAACTATAAATTAGGAAAAAACTATTTTTTATATTTTTATCATTAATACTTATTTTTGTTATCAAAATTATTTTTTTTATCAAAATTTTATTTTATAGTGTGTAAATTTTTAGCGGGATGAAGTAATTCACTCGTATTTATTTTCAACTTGCAACTTTTTTTAAACTACACATTATTTGATATTTTTTAATAAATTTTGATTAATAAGTAGGTATGTGATAATAGAGGTTTCATTATAAAATTAATTTTAATTTAATTAAAAAAATATTAGTAACACTTGTCCTCTTCCACTAAATAACTTGCTCAATTTAATTTTTAGATCACTTAAATATATTTATAATATATTGTTATAAAAAATTACAATAATAAATAGCTTCTTTTAATTTAAAGTTTATTGTTCGAGTTCTGTTTAGGGTTGAAAAAGAGTAAAACTTTATTCATAAAGATACTCCAATCCATAAATTAGTAAGAGAATAACTATATTGAGATAGCAAATATAGATATGAAAAACTATCAACAAAAGAATAAAATTATTATATTTATAAGTTTCTTACCAAAATATTTAAGTAATTAGAATATTTAAATAATCATTTAATACTGATTATTATCTTATTAATAAATATTATATGTAACCAAACAATCAAACATATTTAATATACATTATTAGCATAATATGCATAAAAGGAATTAATAGGAAGAATATTTTCCATTATGGAAATCATACATTAACAAAAAATGATTTTAATTTTTTATTTATTTAAAACTTTAATTAATATGACATTTTTAACTAAAATAAGAGGAGAAGGTGTCATTTCATTAAAAATGTAACCATTTATTAATCATTTGAGAAGAGGGATGAAAATACTATATCTCCTGAAAAATCATATGGTTACTATTTTTTGAAAAATCTAATTAATTAATTAATTAATTAATTAATCTTTAGACTTGTGAAACAATTAGCAAAATTGGTTTTATTTGACCTATATAATATAACAAAGTTGAATTAACCATCAAATTAGAAAAATATTTGATCTGAACCAAAGGATGCCCGAAAGAAATAGAAGTTTCGTCTCATTTAGAACAAACATCATATTAGTTCTCAACAACTATAGCTACCAACATAATCTGAAGCCTTTTCATATGAAACATTTAGAACTAAACAATATCTCTCGTAATTAGAGTGTCTATTAGATTCAACATAAGCATTCAAAACTTAATTTCTATTATTTGATGAACAACTTTCCCTGTAACTTGATCTTAATTTTATATCCTCATTTTGTGACTAGATCTTTATTAAACATCTTTATTTATTGAAATTTAGGAATAATTTATTAAGCATCTTTATTTACTGAAAATCACCTACGAAAGTTTATTCATGATTTTATATTTTTTTAATAAATATTAGTTAATAAGTGAACATGTAATAGTAAAAGGGTGTTACTATAACTTTAATTTTAATTTAATTGAAATTATATTGTTAACACTTATCCTCTTTTGTAAATCCAAGTTTTTTTATCTCTCTCCCTCAGACATTCTTTGTCGTTAAGTCTACAATTTGCAAATTACAAAATTCTTTTGTTTGGATTTGTTATTCCTCTCTCACTTTTAAATGAAAAGCAAACTAATACACTATTACTCTTCGAAGGTGAGGAAATTTTGTTCCTTATTACTAGGTTTTCATAAAATATTGTAGAAGATGAAGATGAATTGGTGAGCTTTGGCATTAGATTGGACAACCTAAATGAAGGGACGCAAGATTTGTGAATAAATGATAATACTTACTGAAAATAAGAAAAACGAAAGAGAGAGAATCACGTACAAAAAGATAAAATTAAAAAAACCAAAGAGAGATAATATGATGTATTTTTTAATGTAGGAAGTGTGTACCTTTCCACAAAAGAACAGTGGGTGAAGAGTCGTTCTCTTAAGCTGTGGTGAAAAAATATATAAAAAGTTTGGGCCATTTTGGTCCAACATCCACAGTAACAAGACCCAATGTGGCATATCCACCCACCGCCTTCACCCTCAAACATAAACAGAATTCTAGTGAAGTGGACGCGAAGAAACGAAGCTTCCAATCTTCATAAGATATGTCTCAACTCAACCCTCTCCTTTGTCCAATCCTAGTACTTAACTCAATCCATCTTATTCTTCTCTCTCTCCTACACAATTCACTATCTACCTACCCAGATATATATACCCATCCTTGTTCGCACACCATTTAATTTTCTTTGCTTTATAGTGGAAGCAACACAAACATGAACATGAAAGATGGTGTCATGCTGGTCAGAAAGGCAGAGATAGACACAAGGGCGCCATTCCGGTCTGTCAAAGAGGCTGTCTCATTGTTTGGTGAGAAAGTCTTAGCTGGGGAGGTTTATGCAAGTGCAAACAAGCTCAAAAAGGTTCTACACATCACTATCTTTATTGCCCATTCAATTACAAACAATATTTTCTTCAATTGTTTATTGCGGTTTCCAATAGTTTGATGTTGTAGTTTTCACCTGCCATTACAACATTTGCACAAAACTGCTTTCATTTGTTGGTTTTTCAGCTGCTCGTACCCGTAAGCATCAACTGTGTTGGCCTAAAATTTCTGACCTGGCCGTAACATTTTTATTGTTGACTCCCATTTTATCAATATCTTAGTCCCAACATTTCAGACAAGATGAGTTCAGAAGATTAGATGACAAATAAATGTTTCTAGAAAACTCACTCACCGAACCAATGGTTCGTAGCTCCAATCTTATATGCTTTCTTGTAACAGGGTGCAAGCAACAAATGGTTATTCAGTTGCAGACTGTGTCATGTGCTTTCTCGTATTTGTGTGCCTTCCTTTCTTTGTCGTGTCACACAATAAAGCCACTGAAAAAAAATATTAATTTACGCTTTCATGTTTTGCTTTTGCACGTACCATACTTTAATTACAATCTATTCATTGTATGTCTCAAGCTTTCTATGAAATATTATACTATTGCTATTAAGTAACTGTAGAAGAATTACTTTTCTTCCCATGTCTATATTACAGAACTCATTTCATCTTACTTTTCTATCGTAATAACTGTAAAAGAATTGCTAAAGTTTGTTGTTGAAAAATAATTTCTGGTAAGTATTTATATTGTGTGAATCGTGCACGCACTTTACCATTGTTACATTTGTACATCTGATTGAGTTGCTATGTGGTTATGATACAGAGTGGAGCAGGTGAAAATGGCATGGAGTATTCGAGAATTGAAAACGTTGAAGCTGAGCTGGAGGAGACACGAGAAAACCTTCAGAGGGCAAAGGAAGAAAGCATGGTAATGGCGCATTGCCTGTCGTCTCTGCAGGAAGAGCTTGAACGTACGAAGGAAGAACTTCAACGACTGAAGCAACGGGAAACAGAGAAACACCCGGTGGAATCTGAAATCGAAGATGTGAAGTTTGTTGAGAATTTAACCACGTTTGAAGTGAAAAGTTCGAGATATGACGAGGAAAAGATGGAGTTCCAGAAGAAAAGGTACGTGACGTTCGCGAATCCTCCATCGGTGTCTCATATGATGGTACCACAACAGGGCGTTGAAAAGTTGGAAAGGCACCCTTCTCTGAGGAAGAAGAAGAAGAAGTCCTTGATTCCTTTGATTGGAGGCATTTTTTCTAGGAAAAAGGGAAGCCAAGAAGTTCCATAACACAATTTCAATCCCACAGAATAACATGTTTTCGATTTAGTATTATGTTAATTACCAGAATAATTGCCAACTGCATTTTGTTTTGAGTTTTTTTCTTTTTCTTGGAAAGGTGTATTTTCATGTCCTCTGTAATAAACTTTCATGGCATATATGAAAACAATGAGTTTATAAAACCCATTTAAATGGTAATCTAAACATAAAATTCAAATACCAAATTGAAGAAAACGGTCAATGTACTTTTGAAGAAAACGGTCCTTACATTTTTTAACCTGAAAAAAATACCTTTTTTATTTTTAAAAACATAGAAACATAATTAATTTTTTATTTTATTCTAAAATTGTGTTAAATAATTGATCATGTACTTTCTAATATAATATGGTTATTTTTTCATATAAATATGGCATGGTTATATTACAAATATATAATCATTAATAACACAATCTTTTGGACAAATGTTTTGATAAACATTTAAAATAAAAAATAAAAAATATGTAAATTAAAATTATTTTATGTATAATGTTTTATCATATAACTGATTTAAATTTTTTAATTTGTATAAGCTAATTTTTGCTTAAAAATAAATAAATTAAAAAATCCCTATTTTTTACTCTTAAAAGTACTTAATCACAATTTCATCCATATTTTTCACAAAAATACTCTTACTTCTTAGAAAAATCCGATATACTTCTTCACTATCAAGTAGTAATATTCATATGTTATGTAACCAGACAAAAAACAATTGAATGAAATATTTTGAAAGTGTGAGGTGCAAGTTAGAGAGAGCAACATAATGTGCACACCGGAAAAGTAGCCCCTTCATGTAATACTGGGCCTTATTATAATCTGCTACTTTTATTTTATCGATCATTACCCACGGTGGGATATTCATATTCTGCTCCTCACATAAATATTATGAAGCTAATATATATTATTACATATATTGCATTCAGGGTGGGTAGATCCAGTTCAACGTAAGTTTTGTTTCTTTTAAAAGAGTTGAGTTTTGGGACTCGTCTAAAAGTTTCACGTTCCAGTGAGATATGAACTCATTTTTTATAGATAGTATAATTTTGTATTGCACTTGATAATTCAACCCAATCCCATCCCAGAACCCCTCGTTGACCACCCACGATCGAAAACACAATTGAAATATTAAGAACATGATAAAGAAGCCAACGAATTGAAGTAACTCCATTATGCAAAATACAAAGCTCCCATATACATATACACCAATCACTATGCATTGGAAAAGAAAAATATATAAGTATAATGAACGACGTGTGATGGCAACATGGGTCCGCACAGAACCTTAAAAAGAAAGGTTGGTTAATGTGAGACTCAGACAGCATCAGATTTTCGACCGTCCAAAACGCCATCTTGTGCTGACTTGTTGAAAAACTCGATGCAATCCGCAATGGCCTCGTTGTAATGCGAGTAAGAGGAATAGTACGAACTGCATGAAGTCTTGGGCGGTTCGAACCGGTCGGAAACTTTGTGCTTTGAATCCTGGGAGCGACGAGAAGGCACCGAGAAAACAAGGCGCATGAAGATCTTGCGGAATCGTTGAAAGAGCTTCATGGCAGAGAGGTTGAACTTGGGACGAGGTTGAGGGGTTTGTTCAAACGATGCTTCTTCAGTAGCTCCTCTTATTTGTATAACAACAAAACTCTCTGTTCCTCTAAGTGGGTTGTTCTTGTGCATTTTTCTCTCCCTTTCACAGAATGACACCTTCTTGAAATATATAGTTATCATGGACAAATATGGTTTGGTTAATTTGTGGATATATATATATATATTAAAGGGTGAGGAATTGAGCATTTAAAGCTTGAGATTATATTCCATATTGTGAGGCCAAAAAGTAGTCCCATGTGACCAAATCATTTGCATGGCCTTCGTGTCTTCTCAATTTGGTTTCTTTGCTTGGTTTTGTTGATTATGTTGAGTTAACATCTTAAGCTAATTGATGAGTTGCAGAGTTTAATTAATTAAATGGTGGGAGAATTAGGCGCTTATGATAGAGCAAAAATGTGATGATTTGTTGTTTAGCGGGTAAGTTTATTAGAAGGGGAAGAATGATGATCGGTCCACTGCCTCAAATATAAAACCTTGACGGATCTCCAGCAACAATGATTTGTAACATTTGTGGAACCCATCCAACATGTCCAACGTTAAAGCAACTCATTTTGACCTAATTCCCTCTTTCTGGATTTTTCTTTTATGCACATTCATCAATCCTGCAAAAGTTTCTGCAAAGATAACGTGAATAATGCAGGAATGAGGTCACCAATATTTATGTGTGATTATGTCTTTTATTTATCACCATCAATCAGAATCATTTTTGCACCCCAAATCGCAAGTTCATACTCCTATTTATTTCTGTTATTAGAGTAGTTTTGTAAGACATGAATCAAAATCTAATTCGAATACGCAAAATAGTTTTAAGAGATTTTTTTTTTTCATGTTTTCATTCAATCATAACTTTTCTATATTTCAAGTCATACTATTACTAGCTCCCCGTCTCAATTTATCTACAATTTAAATTTTTTACAAATAGATTAAAGAAAAATAGACATATATACATGTAATGTTTTATATAATCTTTACAAAATAGTAACCTACACTCTCAATTTAGGACCTAGGTAGTAATTTTTAAAACAGCATCTAGAATTATTTAAATTGGTTAATAGAATAAAACATGATTATATTAAAAGTATAATTTATGAATACTTTTATATTGTCATATAATTTACCTTTTTAATGGGATTTAGTTATTTATATAACGAATTATAAATGTGTTTCAATTTTAAGACATCAAATAATTTTATTGATTATTTGATCTTAAATTGAAAAAAAAACCTAAGAGAATTTGTTAAGAAAATATATAATTGCATTCTTCAATAATATTTAGTTATCTAATTAATTTTTTATTTCAAAAATTTATTAATCAATTTATCAACTATATTTTTACAATTTATTAAAAATAATATAAATTATCATCTTGTGTATATTTTTTAAGTTAAAATAATATTTTTATAATTTTAACAAATATATATATGTGTGTGTCATATTTGTATGGTCCATAAAGGATTGTCTAATAAAATAATATTTAATTAAAAAAATTATTAATTAAAAAAATATTGAAAGTATAAACTTATATATCACTGAGTATTTGGTATAAACTTTCAAACTAACTATTAAATTAAATAATTTCAATTAAAAAAATAGTAAGTAAATTAAATACGACTTCCTTGTGAAACAAATTAACTAATATATATGGGTGTGTGAAATAAAACCTTCATGTTAGGGAAAATAAAAAATAAAAAATTCTCTTTCCTTTAAGATTTGCCTTCAACCAATCATACTAATAGCATATCGGCATGACCTCACCCCAAGTATTATTGTTTTTGGTTGATGTGGAAGTAATTAATCCGTTAATTAATGAGATTTGTAGTAGCATTAGCATATCATTACTTACTTACCAATTCGCAGTAGATTAGAAGCTAAGAATATAATGATTGGCATTCTTTTGGCAAGTTTTAGCGGAAACAAGGGATATTTTCATTTTTTTTTTACGCTAATAGTGGTCCAAATAAACTCGTTTAAATTCTCTCTGTTCAGCCAAATTAACCCGTTTAATTAAAGTAATGGGTTCCGTACTACCACACCAGTCTCTGGAGAATAAATTATTGTATGTTAATTTTATGATTTCGATTAATCACGTAATCAGTTGTTGAATTTGATTAACTTTTTTCATAATCTAAAAAGCTAGCTACACATTGCTTTTTTGGCTGTATCAAATCAATGTCAAATAATTTTTTTTTTGGGAAAAACCATAATTTGATAAACATACATATAATAATATCGTTGGATTATATAATTTATGGGGAATGGAGAATGTAAAACGTGATGATGATAATGAATGAATGAGAATCGCTGAGCATTGTGTCTGAGGAATTTTATGATTAGGGTGAATGTTTGGGGGTAATGATGATTGATTCCTAAGACATTAATCATTCTGTCTTGTACTTGTTTCGTCTAAAAACAACATCCTTAGAATAGGATGAGGTCATTTCTGCATAACAAATAATACATTCAGTGTACTTGGATAACCAATAAATTTTTATTTTTTTTTATCTCTAAAATTACATTTTTTTTATTTTAACAAAATTGTTTATTATTTTAACTTTTAACTTTAAATTAAAAGTAATTATGAAATATTAAATCACTTATTTTTATTATTATAAAATTATTAATATTATTTTTTAACTTTTTTCATAATTTTGTATGATTATCTGATTTTTTTGTTTAAAATAGTTTCAAAAATAGAGTTATTAAATATTTTTTTAACCTATTTAAAAAATTATAAATTAACCTTGATTTTTTTAAAATTAAAAAACATAATTAAATCAAACCCTTTTTATAATCTATTTTCTCGCCCACTTATGTTTCAATCTATTTACATTTGATGTATTTTAATTGCTTTCGCTTTATATACATGTTTTTTAATGATGTTTATTTTACATTAATATATTTATTCAATTTAAAATTACATTTTGAGAAGTTTCAATTTCAACCTTTTTTAATATTATAATTTTTCAGTTTTACTATCTCTTTTATTTATAACATTTTTCTGTGATGAATCTTCAATAATATTATTTAATAAGAGACTAGGAATAATGAGAGATATAATATAAGAGAATATTATGCTTTTTATATTTAAAATGTTTTTTTTTTAATTTTTATATGTTACAACTTTATTTTAAAAAATATTTTGATGAATTAATAAATTATATGTGTGTAAATTACGTTTAACGACTTATTCTTAAAATTAGAACAATATTTTATTCTTGATCTCCTAGAGAATGTCACTAGATATTAAAAAGCTCTTTGATAGTAATAATAAAAAAAACCATATCCTCTAAATTTCAGCAACTAATATTGATTATTGATTTTGTAGAATTAAATAACATATTATTAATAAAATAATAAATAAATATACAAAATAAAAAGATCAAATTATAAACATATAAATAAATATATTTAATAATAATTAATTTTAAAAGATAAAAAAGTTACAAATATTTTTGTGGTTTTGAAAAAATTTATAATTTATTATATATATATATATATATATATATATATATATATTATAATCATAACATCATGTAACATCTGAGCAAATTATTTTTTCTAAAAGACATTGTAAGTCTCTTCAAACAAAACTTTACCAAAAATTCATAAACAAATTATTTTTACATTTTAAAATTTAAAATTATTTATAAATTGAGATATTTTATCTATAATTTTGTTCCTTAATGCACGAGACACTTTTTCAATACAAAATAATGACATTAGTTTCAACTTCAAAATAAATCGGATAATATCCTGGCATAATAAAAAATATTTATAATAAATTTTGGAGAGAAAAACTAAGTTAATTAAATAATATCTTTCAATAAATTAATCTAATTTTTTATTTATTTAAGTTTTAGTAAATAAATTTAATTTAATTATAGAATTAATCAAAAAAATGATGAAGACGTGAAATAGTTCTACAAGTTAGTTACAATTGAATTAATATAATTTTTTTAACAGATTAAACTATAAACATTTAACTTTGACTTAAGAGATTTTATTTATTGCATTATATATATATATATATATATATATATATATATATAGTATTGTACATATATAATTATTTTATAGCAATTAAGAAAACTAATAGCTTATTTAATTTCACTTGTCTCATTTTAAATAAAGTTTTATCTAATGTTTTGAGTTAAATTTGAAAGAATAAAAAAAGTTACTGAAAATAGTTTTTCAATTAAATAAAAAATAAAGCAAAATAACATCATTAAATAAGATTAAATTAGTTAAATTTTTTATCTATAAAGTGTAAAAGAGAAATTGAATAATGTATTTCCTTATAAAATTTGTACGTGTTATTTTTATTTTAAAGAAAATCATCATTTAAGGCCCAGGGCATGGGGTGTCCTTGTTCATAGACAGGGCTTTTTTGGATTTTTGTAATCTTGTAAGCCCTTTTTTTTAGCTCTGTTCCGTTTGTTTTTGGACCGAGGAGGATGGATTGGATTAAATTGGCAGCTCCGGTTTCATAAATTGTCTCGTGATATAATAGTTTAATGAAAATGTAAATTTAGAAGACGATTGGGTTGTAAATATTCAATTATCGGTTTTGATGAATGTGTTTGGTGCAGTTTCTTCTTCGTCGGAATTTAGTATTTCTTAAAAAAAAAAAAAGAAACTAATCAAATTCTCAAACCATTATTTGCCTTTAAATCTCCACCACAACCTTCTACACCGCTTCACTTCCACTATTCTTTCGTATCTTACCTCAATTTCCGCAATTCACTTAATTTGTTTATAATCTTTGTTTTTGCTTGTTAAAATTCAGGGATCCAAGCATTAAATGAAAAGTGTTTTATTAAATAAATATAGAGGAGAAGTTTTTGCAAAGTTTAAATAGCATTTAATAGTTTGTAAGGGAAATTTAAATTAACAGAGAAAATAGATTTGTGAAGTATGTTGCTGAGAAAATGGAGAGGCCCAAGAAGGAAAATAGGGCAGAAGAGAGAGAGAGGGAGAGGCCCAAGCGAAGGGAGAGAGAGAGAGAGAGGAAAACAAAAGGCGGGGTGGCGTGTGCATTCGAACTGAACTGACCGCTTTTTTTGCGTTGGTGTTGGCGGCCACTCAATCTCATCTCATCTCATCTCATCTCAGTATCTCATCACTCACTCTTCACACAACAACACATCTCTTCTCTTTTGTTTCTTCCAACATTCACAATCTCACAATCTCACTTTCACTCTTTCCATCCCCATTTCCATTTCCAACACTTACTGTTACTGCTACCCCCTTTCTCCCGCTCTCTCTGTTTACCAAACTCAAACCCTCAACCCTCTCTTCTCCATTCATGTCGACTTCTGGCCAGGATCATCATCAGCCTCACCCCCCTCATCCGTCTCAATTCCAATTCCACCTTTTGCATTCCTCTTCTCACTCTGCTCCCTATCCCCATTCTCTTTTTCCCAATTTCCCCGTGAGTTCTCTCTTTTCAATTCCTTTTCTCTTTTCCTTTTCTGCTCATGCATATTTATCTTCCACTAGCACATGATCGGATGGATGGATGGATCATGTCCCCTATTTTAACTGACACAATCTCATCATCTAAATTATGAATGCTGTTTTCTTTGGTATTCAATACATTCCGTGCACTTTTTAGCTGTTTGTAACCTTCCACGACACACTGTTTGATCAATTTTCTTGGGTTATTCAAGTGAAAAGCCAAACAGTTCATCTGGGAATTCACTGCTTTATTTTAATTTCCTTTTTTTTATGTTTCTTAATGTACGTGTTTGCTACCAATGCCCTTGTATTTACTTTTTGACCTTTTGCTGATCTTCATGCGAATTCAAATTGGCTCTGTGAATCATAAAAAAATATATATAAGTGATAAAAAAAAAATTGTCTCTGTGTAAGCTTTTATATTTGAATTTTATTTTCCGCTCATGTGACCCTTTGATTTGTTCAACGTTTAAATATTAGAAATATTCTATGCTGAATAGCATCCAGCAAATAGTAGTTTTTCAAGGCTTAAATGTTCGCATTCAACTACCTATATGCAGTTGAGTCAAAGATATGAAAGCAATACTTTCAAGTCTCACCCAAGTAATATCGAAGTAGCTGAAATCAGCAAAGCAGTAAATCTTCCCCCTCCAGTTCAAACCGGGCCTACCATAAGAGGAAAGCAAAATGGTAAATCAAAACTTTCAAGAAACACAAAATCTGGGACTCACACACCTAATGCCGGTAACACTCTTTTAGACTATGATTCTGTTAATTCTTCATTAATTTACATTTATCAACTTCTTCCGTTATTTTTTATTACTATTATTTTGCTTGAGTTTATGGTGGGTGGATTTTCCTATCAGATTCCCCTAATTCAACTGTGGTTAACAACTGTCGTTATGACAGTTCCTTAGGTATGTCCGTTCACAAGTATTCCTCAATGATGCCTTTTTCACTCAATTTTCTTAGTTAATGTGACTCTTTATAATGCACTATTTTCATATGCTTTGGGCAGGACTGTTAACAAAGAAATTTGTGAGCTTGATCCAAGATGCTAAGGATGGCACCCTGGATCTTAATAAAACCGCTGAGATCTTGGAGGTATAGAAAATTACTTTCATGGTTTTGTTCACTGATGGCTCTTTTTGTCAGGGCTTATTTTGAGCTTCTCTTCTGGTCCTATTGTTCAAATTTTCCTACTTGTGCTATTAGTATAATATACTTCTGCTTCCTGGCTTTTTCATTTCTGGTTTTTATGATATATCTAAAACTATTTTTGGCAGGTTCAGAAAAGGAGAATTTATGACATTACAAATGTTCTTGAAGGAGTAGGATTGATAGAGAAAACATCAAAGAATCATATACAGTGGAAGTAAATATCTATTATTTGTTTGTTACTTTGGCTTTTTATCATATTTCTGATATATGATATTATAATACTCGCTGTGCCTTGCGAGCAGGGGATGTGGTGGACTTGGGCCACGAGAACTGGAAGACCAAGTTAATTGTCTAAAGGTTTTGGATCTTTTTTATTTGACTCGGTTCAGATGTATTCCGCACTTCCTGCTTTTAGACTGCTTGCATGGTTGCTTTAAATTGTAAAACATGACTTAATTTTTTACACACGACCATATAAGTGAAAAATGAAAACCTATGCTTCTTTTGAAGTCATGGCTATAGGAATCTTGGATGTCTTATTGGGATCACATTCCTAGCCATCTGATTAATCACTGCTTCAAGCCTCCAAGGAATCTTTGATTTTTAACGTTTAGTAGGAAATAAATGGAATTCTGCAAAATCCCTTGGAATATATAGTACCCATGTCTAAAATATTTGTTAGTAACTGTACAGTTAAGGCAACAAATGATGAAGAAATTAATCAAAATAAAATTAAAGTTGCTGGCAGTAACTTGCAACTTGAACTGCTGAAGGCATTGTTCTAAAAGGCAAAAGAAAAATTTTCGGTCACATAAGCGCATTAAAAAGGTTCATTTGTCGTGAGTAGTTCTGCAGAAATTAAGCTTCTGCTTGAAATGTTGCTGAATAGCTTTATTGTCTCTTGAACAATATATAAGCTTTTTGGACGAGGCAAAATCTAAATGCGACATGATTCCATCTCTCATGGTGGTACTATTTACATATAGATCAGGTATGAACTTTATGCTATGGAACGAATGTATTGAACTTGCCACTTCTATCTGGGACTATATATGCCTATGCAGATTTAACTGCAAGTTTTTCTTCTCTTTCCTCGGACTGGTTTAACCGATCAGCATTTTTCAGTTTAAAATGCTTGTTGCTCGTAGGATTTCAGTTCCACCTGCGAATACTGTAGTGTGCTAGTGATCTGGTCCAACTCTAACAATTTGAATTAATGCAGGATGAAGTTGAAAGTCTATATGCCAGGGAATGCGAACTTGATGATTGTATAAGGTTTGTTTGCTACTAATATAGTGTGTGAAAAGTTTCATGTGGTTGACCTATTTTTCTTTTAGCAGAATAATTATAATTATAATTTCTCAGGAAAAAGCAGGAGCTTCTTAGAAACCTGGAGGAAAGCGAAAGCTCTCGAAAGTGAACTTCTGATAACTTGTCTTTTATTTATGTTGCAATTTCTTGGTTTCTTTACGTGATAGTAAGCTTGCTGGATCATTAGGTACCTTTTTTTGACCAAGGAAGAGATTCTTTGTCTTCCATGCTTCCAGGTCCTTCTCTTTTTTAAATGTTTAAATTTTATGAAGATATATCTGTTTACCATTTTGGCCACTTACCTTTTATCTACTATTTTCACAGAATCAAGAAATTATTGCAATCAAGGCTCCAAAAGCTAGTTTCATCGAGGTCCCTGATCCTGATGAGGTGGTATCTACTTTTCAAGGGCGTTGAAATTTATTTGGTTTGGTGTATAACATGATTTTGATTGACTCCTCACTCAAATGAGCAGGAATTAGTTTTCCGGCAAAGGCAGTACGAAATGATTGTTAGAAGCGCCACTGGACCAATATATTTGTACCTCTTGAGGTACTTCTCTACTGTAATATTGCAGCCAAAAGTTTCTTTATTACTATGTTCTCTGTGTTTGCTTTGGTTAAAATCTTTGCTCTTTCTCTTTGTTGGTTTAAGGTCATTTTTAACTTCTTTGAATTAAGTCTTCTAGTAACTGATATTTTTATCCTTGTAGCAAGGACGGCTCCAAGTTTGAGGATGATAGTGTCAAACGGGTGAAGTTAATGGATCCATCATGGAATAGTGAGCACTGCAGAAAGAGGGGTGTAGGACTATTAGAAAGCCATGATAAAAAAAATCCTTCTGAGAGTTTCAATCTGCAGGGGTCACAAGCATCTGGAATTCAGGAGATAACTCCCACGGATTTTGAAGTATGTATAACTAAAAGCTGCGTGGTAAATTACCAAAAACTGAAAAAAAAAATTCATGCCATGGTGTTTATTTGCAGATGGAAGATGACTATTGGTTTCAATCAGATCCTGGTGTGAGCCTAACAGAACTTTGGGGTAGCAATATCTTCTGACTAATCCTTACTATATGAATTTGATTCTTGGATTTTAACTCTATATGAAGACGCAAGGCAACCAGTTTTTAAAGCTCATATTAATGAATGCTTAGTTTTAGTTTTTATTTTTTTCTGTTCAGAAAATGAGCAGTTGGTTCGGAGAGAAGAACTTCACGATGATTAATCCAATAAGTGGAGTGGGATTTTCTACAACACAAGCTTCACTAACAGATACGATGAATAAGGACGAGATAGACTACTAATTGTTCAGATGACACAAAGGGTACATTTCAAACTGTAAATTTCAGTTTTTTTTTTCCTTTGGCCCTTTCCTAGAAGCATTTGCCTTAACTAGGGTAATTTTGTCCTTGTCGTACAGTGTAACTTATGAATAAGGTTGAGGTATAACTTTTAATTATAAGAATCTCAAATGTTCTGTAGATTTATTTACATACACAAATCCATAAATATTCTCCCAATAAAGTTGCAAATTATCTACTGCATCTTTTTAAAAGGACAAAATTGCAATTTTATTCCCCGCAACACTTATAGTTTCTTCTCCTTTATTTATATATTGCATATTTTTTACTATTATTTATATCTCACAGAAATAACTTATTTGACCGACAATTAATGTTGCTCTTTATTATGACTTTATTTCTTGTTGAAAACGCTTTTCTTGCATCATTATATATCTCCATTAATTGGTAGATTTAATCTAATATAGGCATAAAAAGGAGGGAAAGATCAATGTATTTCTTGAAATTGACACCAATTATTCGGATCCTTATATGCAAGATTTTTCTATAACTTTGACAATTATAAATCAATTTACTTTTGTTAAAATTTGTATCACCAGTCACTTTAGCCCTTAAATAAAAACTTCAAATTTTAGGTCTTTAAAAAAGTAGGCTTAATGAATTCTTTATTTTAAGTAATTAAATAATAATAATAATAATAATAATAATAATAATAACAATAAATAATAATAATAATAATAATAATAATAATAATAATAATAATAATAGTAATGACCTGCATTAATTATAACATTGTTATTGTATTAAATTATCACTTTAATGTTATAATATTGTATATATTTTTATCTATTTAAAATTTTAAACTCACTAATATATATATATATATATATATATATATATATATATATATATATATATATATATATATATATATATATATATATATATATATATATATATATATATAGTTTACATTCATTAGCTTGTTTAGAAGTAGTTATTTTACCCTCTTTTCTTTTTCTAATATTTCCATCCCATTTAAAAGGCCTTAATTTCTTTAGATAAAGAAAACCTGAAACAGGCTTTTAAATACACATTTATCTCAGGTTCATTTTTCTAAAATTTTATTTTTCGTTTTCTTTATAATAAATGGTTATTTTTAATTTTTATTTTTTTAATGTAGCGATTTTATGTGAATTAAATAATTTTAATATTTGAATTTGATATTAATAATACTTTATTATAATAAAATTGATTAAAGACTAATTTGTTTACTTCTGAAATATAAAAATAAAAATCAATTAAAAAAAGTACAAGTATAAAAAAATATTTAATCTTTATGTTATCAATACAACAATTTGACTTATTTATGGCTAACTTTTGAAGAACTTGATTCTTGAATTTAGATCTTATTTGTATAATTGTAATAATTTTTTTGAAGGTAAATTTTACCGTCCATAATAATTAACAAAGTTAAAGATAATATTTTAAAAAATTGGAAAGGTTACATATTGTTAAATGGGTATTGTTGTACTAGGGTTAATTATGTATTTTAGGACCAATTATTTTATATATGTTCTAATGGTAGGCAATTTTCAAGTTTATAATTATTGTGTTAAAATTCATATAAGAAATGTCTGCAGGAAGGGAGTGATAAAAAATAGTTTATTTGAGAGTTATTGGGACAGAATTATTTTTTTAAGACTTGGCTAATTTGATTATATCAGTGGTTTTACCCTCTCAAGTAGAATTGCCTCCAATATAGAATCGCTTAGTATATGAAGAAGTCAAATAACTCTCATACCACATGTTAAATTTAAATAGATAAAGACTAATTATCTTCTATATTTATTTAAAAAAAAAAAAGTTCCATACTCGTACAGTAACAATAGCATGTTTGACTAACGTTAACACACTTAGTAAATAAGTTAAGTTGTCTATAACCTTCGCTTTTACCAACCACCTAGTGTGATTTTTTTTTATATCTTATAGTTGCTGGACAAAATGAATGAGACCAAAATATGTCACCAAAACAAGAGGCCTAATATCCTCACTCCGTAACAAAAGGACTCCGTACATTCATGTTACAAGCAGTACATGAAGTCCTATGTAGGCAGACACCATAAAAAAGACCACATATACATTAATACATCATACATATAATTTAATAAGTCATCAAATGTCCTTACTCCTTCATTCATCGTTCGGAAGTGCCATCGTTGGCACGTCTTCGGGGGCCTAAAACTTCACGTTTCTTTTGTTGCATAGAAATTCACAACACTAGATGGTTCACATGTAACCTAGTCTATGTATCCTATCCATCCCTTTCAAATTTCAATATGCCCATCAAGGTCTAGACAATTCAGCAAAGATGGTAATAATTTATAAAATTAATGTTATATTTTTTTATGTTTTTAATATTTATAAATAAAATATTAGATTGAAAAAAAAATTACAGTATAGAAACGTAAAAATAAGCATTTAATACATTTTTCGCCTAACAGGGAGGTTAATATTGATAAGATCCTGTAAAAAAAATATTCGTAAGAAAAAAAAAGCAATAAATGGAATGAAACTGAGGCAAGTGATTTACATAAAATTTTACAATTGCACACCCACCATTGTCCACCTATCCATGCTTTTCAGGCTAAAAATTGAAGTTATTGATGTCCTAATGGATTCCAGCTGATCGATTTTTTCTTAGTCTAGCTCGTGTAACCCTAATACTTTCTTCCATTATGGTATCTTCCACGGGAACGCTCTCATTTTCATTTGGAGAAGAGGATGAAGGTGCTGTTGCTACATTCTGCATTGGCTCTTCCTCTGGAGGTACGGATTGATTGGTAGTTTCAAGCATAGGATTGGACTTCTGACTCTTCAATCCTGCTACAGTGGAGGGTGCTTTAGGCACTTGTGGTTCCCCGGCTACTTCCTTCTGGAACTGAGTGGACGTGCTAGAAGTAGGAGAAGATGGATCTTCAGCTTGTGGTTCTGTTGCAGCCACTGGTTGGCTATTACTAGATGGGGGTTGACGCACCCTCACAGTTGGTGGTTGCTGTAACATTAAAAGAGAATTTTTTTACGAGAGTAAGCACAGCAAGGAAATGGGATAAAGGCCAGGAAGATGGCATTTGATGCAGCAAAGAAGAACCACATTAACTTATTTTGGAAAATAATGATTATTTCTTAGCCTACTTTTCTTAAACAACTTTAAAGAAATAAGCGAGATTATTTTTCTAAGAACGATCCTTTCCAGATATGTGCTAGTCAATCAATTATCAAATAATACTCTGCAAATTAGAGATAATTGATCAACATGTGACAACATGGAAAGCAATAGCAGCAACACCATCGTAAAACAATCCTTTCTAAAATTATCGTATCAGATGAATCCGATGTTGGCATGCACATCTATAGCTAATTATGTACCAACAACAGAATGAAATGTACGCAGCGCAAACCAAACTCGTCATTTGGAAAACTTATTTCTCGGAAGTCTTTCTTTTTCCAAAAAAATATCTTAAGAAGTTGACAAAAATACTATACGACTGTTTCTCCAGAATATGCTGAATCAAGCACATACCACGTTTGATAATATGGAGAAAACATCAATCTACATAAAAATTTCAGCATAGCTAAGCCACACCCTCGAATATAGGACAAAAGTCAATGATAAGCTCGACAACTACCTGTGCAGGGTGGGGCGAAGGTGTTGATTGTGCAGCAACATACTGCAAAATGTCAAATATTCTAGTCTGGCCATAGCCAGTAGCTTTTTGCCAATACAAAACTGCAATGTCTCCTGCCCTTGTCCTTAGTTCCAACAAGTTGCGATCAATTTCTGTCTCATGTTTTGCAACATACGGTCTAAAGAAGGAATCATACACATATGATGTTCCCTAAAAAAGGTAATGATAATAAATTCAACCATCAAGTTAAAGAGAAGCAAATTGTAGAGTAAAACCAGATTCTACCACATTAGTTAATTTCATACCTTAGTTTTCGGGTACCACAAGTATATGAAAAATGCCAACTTAGCTTCACTATACATTGGGACCCTTCAAGAATAATACGTTGCTTATTCAATAAGAAAGCACAATAAACTTTTTCCTTTTACAATTACAGAAAATACATAGCATTTTCTACATCTATCTAAAGATAGTATCCATTACCATGAAATAAAAGTATCACTAATCCGCTCACAGACTGTCAAAACAGCTACCAAAATCCTGCAACACAAGGGGGTACGAAAAGAATTCAATATTGCATTTACAAAGAGTTATGTACAAGTTTTATGCCGATGATGGTTGTGCCATCTACCAGTATTGGCACCAAAAGCGAAGTTGTTCAATTTCTGGTCTATTCTTTTCAACTTCCTTATAGCATTCATAGGCTGGGAAGGCATAGCCAAAAACCATCCTACCAACAAGTAGATGGAAATACAAATTCAGTAAATCTTGAAAATTACATCATACAAAAAATGATCGGAGATTTAGTACAGCATAAACATACACAAGTACCCTCGTAATAAAAGATCCTATCATTGTGTATCCCTGCCATGTAGAAAAAGATAACCAGTTAAGCCAAACAAGATAGCTTTCAAAACTTCCAAGAAACTGAAAGTGAAGAAGAATTGTGAGTCCATAAAATATACCCATCTCTAATTAAGCTTGCTTTAATAAGAGAAAACGCACAAATTTGATTACAACGAAATTCATTTCTAAGAGGGCTATGAATAAAATTAGGGTCAACAGAAATTAAAGGCATATATTCACATAACGTTAGGTAGGCTTCTTACAGGTTGTGCAACACAAATTGAAACCAAAACCAAACGATGTATATGAAGTACACAATAATCGGTTGTATGCTGATTCAAATTGAAATTGCAAACACACGTTGAAGCTGAGAGCAACGCGTTTCGTTTGCGGTGTTGTCTCTAAACAGCACACAACTCGAATTAGGGCGTGGCAAAATAAAGATCGGTTTTCAACATAAAACTCAAGAAAACAGGCTCTAATAATGAGACAGAGAACCTTGTTGAATTTACTTTACGGTTGGGAAAATCATGGGAAGTGAGAAAAGTGTAATACCTGTCTGTGCAGCGTGTGAGAAGAAAGAAGGAAGGAAGAAAAGTATAAAAAAACGAGAATGAAATGAATAGAGAGAAAGAAGAGAATGTGATGAGAAGTGGAGAAGAGAAGGGAAGTTGGGAATGGAGCCGTTTGATTGTGTGTTTAATTTGTAATTGCTTGGATTTCTGTTCGACAATTTATACATACGGCGGATACTCTTTTCTACTCTACACTCTAACTTAACCCAACCCAATCCAATCCAAACCATAGATTTTGTTTGATTCACTGTGCTTGCCCATGCGCCTCTTCACCTGTTTCTCACTATCATCATAATTTAATAATAAATTTAATTAAATGCACTACCAGCCAATGGGAGATCGTTGAAATGTTTATTTTAATACTAAACAAATTTATTAAGTCAAGAAATGTGCAAAAATTAAATTAATAATTTTAATTAACGTAGCTTATAATATATTTTTCGTCAAAATATCCTTTCCTTTAATGGTTGAGAAATGAATTTCCCAAAAAGTGAGATATGTTTTCTGTCACACAAAAGATATTAAATAATGAATATTTAATATAGATGAAATAAATTTAAGCAACAATTAACAAAAATATGAATATATACACACACTCGCGCGATGAATTGTAATGTCTAATTATCCATCATTGTGATACTTACACAAGTCCGCAATGGAGCATCCACTCATGGTCCCATTGGAGTTAAGTGCTTTCTCTTCATCATCCATCCATCAGTGGTGCTCGTTTTTGTCAACCACAAGAAAGTCAAAGGTAATAGTAAAATAGCACACATTGTACATTGATTACTTTACTGGGATAAAAATGCAAATTCTGACAAACAAAGAGGCCAATATATTTAATAAAAGTTACATGGCCAAAGGGACCTTTAAGATTACATAATTACAAGGATATCCCATCACAAACATTTTATGCAAAACTATATTAGTATTTTTTTATTCAAATATTTAAATGATCCTCGCTAATGTTTTGTTTTAATTTTTTTGAAATGAAATAAATGGTATAATTGGATTCTTTTAATGTAGATAAACCTCTTATAATGATTATTTATGTAAGTAACAACAAATTTTAAATATCAAATGTGAAATTTAACCTGAAGAATGAAATACATATTTTATAAAAATAACTTTGGCTGATAATAACAATTATAATAACTAAATACTGTTTTTAACATCAGTATATTTTTTAAATATAAAGTTAATAATAATGTATTCAATTTTAGTTAATAATAATATAGAAAACAGAATGTCATGGATAATGAAATTCATAATTAATTATTTCTATTCAAATATTCATTTATATAAAAATAATAATAATTTTTTAGGAAAAAACAATATGTTTTAAAGTATGAATTTTTAATAAATGAAACTAAAAAAAATAAAATATGACTTATGCTATTGGTACGCATGAGAGTAGAGATCTTTTGAATGGATAAGTACATTTCTAAAGAGAGATATTTTACGATAATTATTAAAAAAATAAAAAATAATATTTATTATATATCTCATTAGTTATTTAAAAATTTGTTTAAAATTGTTTATTTCAATAATATTTTTAATTTTAAATAATTTATATCTATAATAAAATATTTTTTTATTCTTAAATAATTCCTTTCCAATATTCTGAATGATTTATAATGTTTTTCCATTCTATGCTCTAATGTAATGTGACACGTATACGTTCAATATAAAAATAATATTTAACCTTAATATTATATAATTTATTGAATACAATAATTATCTCTATATAACGTAATAATAATATAATATTTTCTTTTATTTTTTATTATGAATATATACTTGTAAAATTTAAATTAATCCAAGATTAATTTTAGTTTTTTTCTGTACCAAAAATTTCAAATTATTTATTTTACTTCTTACTATTGGGTAGATATTTGTATTTTTTTTAATGAATACCATTTACTAAAATCTCAATTGGACCAAACTTATACTATTGTATTTTTTTAGTGGATTGTTTGAGATCCACTACGGTGCCTAGTAACATTTTATCCATCGTGCTCTATTATTTTGTTCTCATCGTAGAATTTTCCGACAAATGACCCACGTGTTGTTGGGTTTGTATCTTGGTATTGTCACAACGCTATGGAATTCTTTGAGATTGAACTTTTAAAAGCTTAATGTGACAATAAAATACTGAACATTTTTGGGTATCTAATATTTTCATATTATTATTTTTTATTCATATTATTATTTTTTATTCACGTTAATTTTTTTAATGTGATATGTGAAAGTTCTTTTCTTAACGACTGATTTGGGGATTTTATAATAAAAAATTGGTTACAACATTTTGGATTAAAATTCTAAAACACTCTTCCACCACCCAACTTTTTAATGGAAATTGTATGGTAACATAGGAGAGTACTCAATACTTAAATTCGAACAAGATCTAGGAATTTATTAAGTGAACACTTATAGAAATTCGTAAAAAGGAATAGTTAACAATTTGGTGGATAATGACTTCAAATTTATGATAAGTCACATAGTAAAAAACAGTAAAGAAATCCAAAATGTGAAGAGCGTGTAATAATCTAAGATGAGTAATCAATAATATAACAAATGATTTATAAGAAGAGAAACTGGAAAAAATATCTAAAAGAAGTAAGAATAGTAATATCACGTCAACTTACCGATGTTTTATGTCCATTATCATCTTCATAAATGAGGATTGTTATAATTGATCCGGTCCAAGACGATTTAATAGTCATAACAATAGAAATCGCTAACTTTGTAATCCTCAAGACGCTAGTATAATAGGGAAGTGCAGTTGATATCCTCTATTGAAAGACCTTCTAACAACTTCAACTTGCTAACGACGCCATACTCTCATACCATGAACAAATTATCAGATTTTTGGGGGAGAGAGAGTCGATACAAGAGAATATATTGATCTTTACACCAAGTTTGGCGAAGACTGTTGAGATGCTCGTACCATCAAGATAAAATATTTGATAGTCAACACACCCTCTTCCTACAACATCCTCCTCGGTTGTCCGACCTTAAATGTTCTCAACGCCATAGTATTCATGCCACACCTAGTAATGAAGTTCTCAACCAATTCCAGGACGATATAACCACGATACACAGTGACCAGCAGATGACTCAAGAATGTTATGTAGTGAGCCTCAAACTGTCACCACTATCCAGTAGGGAGCCAACGCATCATTGCAAGCAGTGACAATGATAGATCTAGATCCCCGCAATGGTGAGGACGTTTGGGTTAAGCCTAATAGAGAGAAGACCATTCCTGTGCAAGTAGGAAGTGAAGGGCAAAACACACATATGGGGACAAGTTTGAAGGGGGAAGATGTACGGATAATAAGACAAACATTAATTAAAAATACCGACCTATTCGCATAGATGACCGCTGATATACCGGGCATAGATCCCCAAATCATATCTCATTAACTTGTAATATGCCGAGAAGCAAGATCAATATCTCAAAGAAAGCAAAAAATGGGTGAAGAGCATCGATATGCAGTGCAAAGGGAGGTAGATAAATTACTAAAAGTTGGATTCATCCAGAAAGCCCAATACACAACATGGCTATCAAATGTGGTACTAGTGAAAAAAACTAATGGAAAATGATGCATGTGCACTGACTGTACGGACCTCAATAAAGAATGCCCGAAGGACGCGTATATGTTGCCCAACATTGATTGACTAGTAGATGGAGTAGCCGCCCATCGAGTGCTTAACTTCTTAGACACCTACTCGGGGTACAACCAAATACCCATGCATCAGGATGACAAGTCAAAAATAGCTTTCATGATCGACTCTGCAAATTTCTACTATGAGGTCATGTCGTTCGAATTGAAAAACGTCAAGGCCACATACCAACACTTGATGGACAAGATGTGCCGGGACCAAATCGCTCGTAAGATGGAAGTTTATGTGGATGATATGGTCATAAAATTGGATTGTGGAGAAAGACATGTCGCAAGTCTGAAGGAGATATTTCATGTGTTTAGAACTTTAACATGCGATTGAATCAAGAAAATTGCATATTCTGTGTAGAAGGTGAAAAATCCCCAGGATTTATGCTTACGCATATGGGAATAGAAGTAAACCCTGACAAGTGTCAGTATGTCATTAGCATGAAGAGCTCTCAGGAGGTCCAACGGCTAGTTGGACGGATCACGACATTAACTTGTTTTCTCCCGAAACTAGCCAAGAAAGTGTAGTCCATACTAAAGGTGATAAAGAAAGCTAAAAGGTTTGCATGGAATGAGGAGACTTTTAAAAAATTGAAAGAATACCTGGCGTCCCCTCTTAGTCTTGTAGAAGCTGAGACCGAAGGATTCATTACTAGTATACCTCGTCATGTCCGAAGAAGTTGTAAGTGCAGTCCTCGTCCAAGAATGTGTGAAAGAACATAATCCTATTTACTATGTTAGTAGAGTGTTCCAAGAGATGAAGACGCGATATTAATAAATTAAGAAGGTGACACTGGCCTTAGTGACGACGACCAGGTGGTTAAGGTCATATTTCCAAAGTCACCTAATAATCGTCAAAAACAACTATCTAATAGCCAAAGTATTGCAAAAACCAGAGTTGGCAGGACGAATGATCATGTGGTCGGTTGAATTGTCGGAGCATAGCATTGGCTATGAACCAAGAGGACCCATAAAGGTGCAATGGTTGGTAGACTTGTGAATGAAATGCCCCTACCGAGGCAACGACAAACGTGTTATGGTTCATGTATGTAGATGACTCGTCCAAGGCAAAAGTGGAGTAGTGTTAAGTGGTAAAAAGTTGATATAATTATGCTTTGAATTGTTATGAAACCACTTAACTTATGTTAATTCTAATATATTTTTCTCCCAATATAGGATGAATTCAAGAATACCTTGATACAAGAGTAAGGATCATAATTGTCAGCATAATTGAAGTAAAATTGAAAGAAAGAAGAGCGCTTAAGCGAATGAATGATGCGATGCCCAACCCAAATTCTCTTATAAAAAGATAAGTTGTGTTTTGAGAAAAGCAAGCAGTCTTGGAGGAGAGGAGGCACGACTGCTGTTAGGGTTTTGTCTAATCTTCATCAATTCTTCACTTCTTCATCAATTGGAGCATTGTAATGGCCAACATGAGTGACTAATTTCATTCTCTTAGGATTCAGTGCACTTCCTTTGAACTCTTTTGTATCATGGTGATATTTTGAGATATTAATCTATGCTTTGATGTTGTTATTCTTATCCTTTATGCTTTAGAATGATTTATTCTTGATTGTTTGAGGTATGATTGGAAAATATATCTTGAACCCTAGATCACGGTAAGAATATTTGTTACGTTAATTGCCAGGAATGAAATGAATGTATCAATTGCTTAAACACCCTAACCCTAATGCTGGAAAATCTGTTAATTGTGTGAGGAATCAACATTTATTAGGTTTTCTTATGAATTTCATGTGTGAGGAATCAACATGGATGATTTGAGTAGGTGACATCAACATTGTTAGGTTAATTGACGTTCTTAATTGACATAGCCATTACAAAAGAGGGATAAGGAAGGAAGCCAATCCTAAGTACCTTTAATTGATATTTTCTCAACAATTTACAGTTCTTTGTCATTTAAATTCAACTAAACTCTTATTTGCAAAACTCAATCTGTTTAATATAGTTAGTAAGCATAATTGGAAATTTTCATTGAAATTGTTCCTCGTGAGATCGACTTTTATTTTATCGAAATAC